CTTCTTTGACAACAAAATCCTGCAGATCGTGAGAATATTCGTACAAATTAACTCTACCATTCTTAGAATTCGAAAAAAACCATCTTTACATAAAGTAACAGAAAAACAATCCAATCATACTTTTCGCTCATTTTCAGGAATTAAACTAAAACTATCTAAAAGTCGCAACATCAGGTGTTCGGAAGCTCATCCAACCATCGCATGCCATCCCTAACTAGCTGAGTTGTTCCTCACTGTAGTCTTTCCCCTTGGATATGTATCACAAAGGATGTATAAAATAGTTACTCGACCTCTCATCCTCAAATGATTGTGCAGTTTATTTTTTTAATTATATTAAAATGATCAGCTAAACATCAAGTAATATTTTAAAGTGAATAAAGTGATACTCTATTAACTTCAAAAGATTTTCAAAACTAGTATCTTTCAAAATTCACATAACATCCTCTTTGACAAAAAAATCCTGCAGATCGTGAGATTATTCATACAAATTAACTCTACCATTCTTAGAATTTAGAAAAAACCATCTTTTACCCTAAAGTAACAACAAAACAATCCAATCATACTTTTCGCTCATTTTCAGGAATTAAACTAAAACTATCTAAAAGTCGCAACATCAGGTGTTCGGAAGCTCATCCAACCACCACATCCCTTCCCTAACTAGCTGAGCTGTTCCTCACTGTAGTCTTTCCCTTTGGATATGTATCACAAATGATGTATAAAATAGCTACTCAATCTCTCATCCTCAAATGATTGTGCAGTTTATTTTTTTAATTATATTAAAATTATCTAAAAATTTTAATCCACACAATTATTTTATCGTTGATGGAGTAGAATACTTTGTAATTTATAGTGAAATTTTTTCAAGATAAGTCAACATTACCAAATATAATGAATTAATTATATATTGGTGTGTCTCGTCTACTTCTCAATGAATTGTGATACTCTTCCAAAGCAATAGTCATGTTTGTTCAAATAAAACAATACAAATAATACACTTGGTTTGAGATAGAAGGATTACACAAATTGAAGTCTCTGCTCCCTTTAGTTTGATTTTCTTTTTCTTGGTTTTTTTTTTAATTTTCTGTTTTGTATTAATTTTTCCCTTATATGATAAATTAAAATTTTCATCTTAAAAAAAATCTTAGCAATCACTTGAAAATTATTGAGAACTTAAAAACTCGAATCAATTATTATATTTATTTTAATGTAACTTAAACATATTTCTAAATGTGTTTTCATCCATCATAGTCTAAACTTTCAATGTGATCTTGATGGTAAGTCCATATCATTGTATCTCTTGGCTACACAGAAATGATCTTTCTACATCAGTATGTTATGCACAGTTTTGCGAAGTCATTCTATTTAATAACACATTTACATAAAGAAAAAACTATTCATGACAATTTTTTTCTTTCTTTCAAATTTGTCTATAAACAAAATGTAAATATAGCTAGGTTACGATTACACAAAGTGAATTGCTAAATGTAACTTAATTTCACTTCGTGCAGCTTGTTAAATAGACTAAAATACCCTGAACTATAAAACCTCCCAAATTCTTTTATATAATCATTTCTTTTTACAACTTCACATATATTAGTTTATTATACAGTAAAAGATTCACTGATCATTGATAATCTGCAATGGTGGTGAACTAAAAAACACGCGAAGGCGGAGAGAGAGAGGTAATTTTCAGATGAATTTTATCATTTCTTTTTTCCATTCTTATGTGATCGGACGGCTTTGATGTTATGGGTTTTCTGGGGTTTTTTTTTTGGGTTCTTGTTTTTTATTTTTTATTTCTTTTTTTTTTTTGCGAAATGTTATGGGCTAAATTTTATGGCTTTGGTATAATCGGTGACCGATGATTGTATTTTACACGAAATAGGGGATCGTCTTTTTTCTTTTGGTGCAAACTTTTTTTTTCCCCATTTTTTGGTGTGATTGGTGACTTCAGTGCAAATATTTTTTTTTTGGTGTGTGTGATCATTTTACAAATATTTTTTTGCAATTGAATTTTGCAATTGAAATGATTTTTGTCCATCTTGAACTCATTGAAAGAAAGAGAAAAATGATTATTGCTAAACGTAGCTTGATTTTATTTCGCACAGCTTGATTTTACTTCGCGCAGTTTTATAAAAGTATTTTAATCTATTTCACAATCTGCGAGAAGTAAAATCAATCTGCATTTAGTAACACCTTTACACAAATCCATATTAAGAAGTCCAAGATATATTTTTTGTTATCTTTTTGTCCCATTCTCCGGAATGTATTCATCATTTATTTAGTCCACTATTAAAAAAAGGAATGGAAAGAGTATATAGTTGGAATATTTGCTCCGTTATGAGTTACAATCAATAACGTATATACATTGTTCTCATACCCTAACCCAAAAGTTAGGTTAGGGTTATATACCCAAAAGATTCTAGAATATGCATTGATATACCTCATCATGTCCAAGTCCACCAAGTAATAGTCCCTCCTGGATCACAAATTTTGAGAGCTTCGAGGCAGCCAATCCCAGAATGGTTAACACTTCTGCCATGAATGACTCTCTTTTCTCTCTTTTAGTGAAGCAAAATTAGGGTATATTTGTTTTATTTTTTTAGTGTGTATTTTTAGGTATTTTTTGTATTAAGAATGTAAAAAAGTGTGTTGAAAATGTTAAAAATTATACTGGGATAGGACAGTTATTAATAAAATAAACAAAAAAAACCATTAAAAAAATCAAACAAACAGAGCCTTAGCTTTTGATATATATAAAGATGCTCTAGTTAACGTTTTGTGGAGCTAATTCTCCACTATCTTTGTAGCAAGATATAAAGATTGTTATGCTCAAAATTCTCGATCTTCCCTCTCCTAATTTTGTTTTGTTTTTTTTGAGAAAGGCAAAAATTTATACTCCCCTTGTCTCAAAATTATTGTCCAGTTTGAGATTTCACTTTTAGTACAATTTGTACTAAAAATGAAAACCGAAACTGGACAATAATTATGGGACGGAGGAAGTATTAACAACAGTATCTAACTCTCTCTCTTTTTTTTTTTTTTGACAATGAAGGGCTTCTCACACGAAAAGCTTATTCCACGCGTCAATAAGTCAATGCATGCTATACAACAACAAGGATGACGAGAAATTTATGCGATCGTCAATGCCTTCTTCTATTAACAAAACCGTGTAGGGTAACCAAAAACCACTGAACTGAGGCAGACACGTCCATTTCTATGCTGGAAACTCAAGTATTTTAGCCCCATCGACTTAATTGATTAAGTTGCATACTCTCTCATTTGACATTTGATTCCAGAACAATATAATCATTTATAGCCTCACACATAGGACATTTAAACCAAACGTGTGTACCATCCTATTTTGAGAACCATAAAGACGTACTTACTCACTCTAGGACTTACATGCATTTGATTCAGTTGCAATAATCACCAATGAATGAGGTCCTGAGATCAGTCTAGTCGGCTTTCATTGACTCAAGACACTCAAGTCTATGTTGATGAACTTCATAATGAATATTTCCACACACAAAAAAAAAAAAAAACTTCATAAGGAAGAGTACTTCTATGAAGAGTTTTTACCTTAGCTACAATCTAACGTAACTGGCATTCATAGACTCCAACGGTTATAGTAGAAAGGATTCAAAATATTGATCTTAGAAATTATATATTTTTAGTTCATTTTTGTGAGTAACAAAAATATAAAACTTGTTTAAGTAAAATTATTAATCTTCTTGCTTCTTTTTGACGTAAATTCTTGATGAATGAAACTTTCGCTATCAATTTCTTCTGCCAAATCATTTTCAATTGATTAAAAATGGTCAATTTATTTTATCTTTCTTTGAATTGTGGACCTTAGATAATCTTTTTAATTGCTTTCAATTTGGAAAGTTTTATGGAGGAATGGTCATCATATGCAATGTATACATTTGGAAAAGAATTAAGCATTTAAATAGAATTTAGCTCATTAGTTGGAATATTTTTAACTTGTACATGTGCAATATCATTTAAAAAATTTTAGATTTTGAAATAAAGTCTAACAATAATATCTAAACATTAGATTGAGCGAATTGTCAAGATTAAGACAACTTTGTTTTAAATCATTATTTTATTATCATCCATTGGTTTTAATTTCTTCACACTAAACAGAAAACCAGAAAAACGTTTTCAAACCTTAATTTTGAATTGATCAAATCAACTTAGAACTAATGAAATAGGTTGATCCACCGTAAATAAAAAATAGAAGAAAATAATGACTTTTGAAAGATTCTTGAGGCGGTTTTAATATTGACTTTTGAATCTGCTGCATCTTTCACAGAGACAAAGGTTTTCAATCCTCAGTGCAATTAACGTATTTCCTCTATGATCCATATAATTGATCTTTTATTGGTGTTCAATGTAGCAAATAGGTTGATACTTTGATTTTTTTTATTTTTAATTTCTTCTTGTGTGTCTCTTAAGTGAATTTTTCAAGTTGATAGCCAGGATTCCTTGCATTTTTGGGAGCCCTTTTGTTGCGAGATGTATATATGCCATAGCCCGTAGACATACACACCATTGACTAAGAAGATTGGGGTCTCTTCAATCACTCAAGAACTGTGAAACGAATTTGGTCTTCTAGAAAATGGCCATTTTCCTTGAGCCAACCTCTCGACCTTTAACGCAAAATTTAGATCTGTGAACTAATTTGCCTTCAGAATTCATAAATAAAGTGGATGTTGCAAAACAGTGACGATGATTTGGCAAAATCATTTTTATGTTTCAAAATCCCAATTCACGAATAAGATTAGGATTTTGATCATACCATTACTAAAAGTTAAGCTTGTGTATTCTGTTTTTCACACGAATATTATGAGCAAGTAGAAGGAGAATTGGAAGAGAACAAACAACCGATTTGTTCTCGATGATTTAAAAAGGGTAAATTAGTCATTCTAAAGATAGAAATATATTAACATTAATTAATATTCATTTCAATTAAGAAACAAAGGCTCGTGCCCTTATTAATAAATTTGATCTTTTGAACGCCCTTCATCATAATTCTCCCTTCCTCTAACTCCTAAATATTTCTCCAACTCCTGGATACCTTTCATCTTGTTGAAAGTCATTCTAATGTCATTTGTAAGTACAAATAATCCCAAAAAATAATACCAAAGTGAACCTTCTTCGGATAAAATTGAAGTAACTATAAGCGAGCAATGTCGCATTGCTTCTTGAGATTGTGTCCTAAGAAATTTCATATCTGAGCTCTTCAGCTCATCTTCTTCTTCCGCACCAATTAAACATTGTCTAGTTATTGACTCCATTTCTTGCTTTAATGTTCCTATCTGATGTTGCAACAGAGTAGTTGAATCTGCAGACTCGAAGTAGGATGATAACTCCTCAAGATTTTTCATCAACAAATTCACAGATTTCATTATATGATTTCTGCGAATCGGCCTCCGACACAATTTTCTCCACAAAGACTTACACAAAAATTTGTTACCATAATATGTATCGCTTGCGAGTTGCTTAATTGAAGCAACAGCTTCAATCAAACCAGGGATTCGAGAAATCCAAAATCTAGCACTGTTTTTGTTCTCAATTTCCCCTGTCTCCTGTTCATCACATTCTTTTTCTTCTCGATGAAAATGATTGAAGTAAACTACATGTCCGATTTCGATAACTAGAGCTGTTATAGATGTACCTAGAAACTCCATTTCCTTGACAACAAAGTTTTGCTTGGAATACACCGCGAGTATGTTATGCAAGATTTTGCACCTTAAAAAGCGGAGTTCATCTGCCAATTTTTCGACATCAACGGAGTTTATCGACAATCGAAGCCGCCTTAGTTTGTGAATCAAACCATCAAAGAAGTCCACAACATGTTCATCAATGTTCTTGACAGGAGGATCAACATCATCTGGAATGACTGATATTTTGCGATATCTTTTATGTTCTAAATAAGCGACCATAATCATAGCTTGAAGTGTATATATCTTCTGTAGAAGAAGATTTGAAACTTGTGGATTCTCGACGACCTTAAGACAAATGCGGGAAAAAACGGAGGAAAATAGAACGGCAGTATCTAAAGCAGAATCCAGAATGGTTTTCACATCTTGAACATGCTGATTAATTAGTCCATTCCCAAGAACTAACCAAAGAAAGTTTCTTAGATATTGGAGCTCGTTATATACTCGTAAAACATGTTTGTTCATACCAACAATTTGATGCTCATCTTCCTGGCTGGATTCATGATAGTGCAATATATCTCCAACAATCGGAGTTGCAAAGTCAATTAATCTCACCACATTCTCTGCGATTTCCAAAGGCGACGAAGAAGATATGGAAACCTTTTTACAAACAGGTACAATTAGGCTGATACGATCTTCGATGGAATGGAAGAAATTCATATCAAATGGTGGCTGATGATCAGTGTTTTCCTCAAGATCAAAGAGCAAATCATCCAGCTGCTTCAAGTGAACCTGAACTTCTTGGTCTTCAATGGATACCCGCAATAACAGGCTCACTAAAAGCCTGAAGAGGGTTAAAGCCAAATCAACCCTTTGAGAATCATATGTGGAATCCTTTGCAACATGATCAATCTGGGATTCCATCACTTTTCCTTAGTTTCAACTTTTTTTTTGGCCTTTGGTTTTATTTTATAAGTTCCCTTTTGATTCGCGTAAGATTGAATGCCCGGATGTTGTCCAGTTTCTTCATTTTTGCGCAGGTCTTTTCTAGTTTGGATGACTGGGAATTATAATAATAATAATAATCTAGAGAAGCTTTGAATCCCCCTGTAAACTGACGCATTCATTTTTGACATTTTCAAGAGGAGGGCAGGAAAAAATTGATCTAAAATATTGCTGACAGTATTGACTGGTAGAATGTATAAATGTAAGCCCAGGAAATCATCAATGTTATTAACCCGACAAAATAAAATAAGAGCCCATTGGCCATTCCAATATCTATTTAGGCTCATGCTTTGAGTTCATTTCTCTTTGTTTACGAACTATGAAAGAATTTTAAACAGAAATACAAGGAACTAAAATAATGTATATATTAGTGGTGGACATTAAATATTTTCAAGAGCAAATGCCTCCCGCATCCTTGATCATAGAACTATACAATATTTTTTCCATTCTCATTATTACTAGTGATGTCTGGTCGCGACCCTGGCCCAGTCTATCTGTAGATCTTAGAAATATTTATATTTGAAAAAAAATAAAATTTTGTATTTGCAGCGATATATTTTAGAAATATTTGAAGGAATTAGAAATGTTTTATAAGTGTGATCATAGAAATATTTGTATTTCACACACAAAAAAAAAAAGAAATTGTATTTCACCATGTATGTTTTAGAAATGTTTTATAAGTGTTACTTATTAAATATAAATAGCCTTAATCGAATAAATGTGTTGAACTAAATGTTAGATAAAATATAAAAGTATCCTAATAAATTTAAATATTAGTAAGATGATTTATTGATGTTCTCCATTGGTCGTGCCAAATCAATACTTAATTTTGGAGATTTTTAATAGTTTTGTAGTAAGATTCATCCGAAGGTATACGCTTAAAACAAAGTTGACACTTTGTAACAAAAACCTAATTGATCAATTCAATTTAAAAAACCACTCTAGTTGAACGAAACATAAAGAAAAAAAAAAAAAAACGTGTCACGTGAAGTGCAAAGGGAAATTTAGTAATTTAGTTATGGTTAGACAAAAGGGCAATTTAGTACTTTCTACATGCCACGTGGCAATCATATGAGGTGTTTGAAAGGGAGGTTTTTGTTTCTAATATAGTAGGAGTTAATTCTCTCTTTGTCCCAACTCAAAATAAAAATCCAAACTGAACAATAATTTTAGAACGGATGAAATATTTTATACAAACCGATTTCGTGACAACAATAATCTACTAGCTCACCAAACCTTCGACCACAAAAAAAAAAAAAAAAGAAGAAAAAGAAGCTAAGTAATCCATAAAATTTTAAAAAGTTCACATATTACGTTGATGTATTGCATTTGCCCATTAGTTGGTGTTTAATAAATTAAATCTTTCTTTTTTTTAAAAAAAAACTATTCTCATGACCATTTATTAGATGAATTTCTTGTGAGGCAAGATAGGTCTCATTAATCTTCTATTAAAAGAATCCAAAAAAATTTGTCATAGTCTCCTAACAAATGATTATTGAAGGCTTTTCGAGTTCGAGTTTGGTAATATATAGAATCTTGATTCGAGAAAGGAGAAGGATTGATCTTCAATCCTATGAAATTGGTGATTAGGTGAACAGTCTCATAGACACACATAGTCCATTTTAGGGGAGTAGTATTTACTTATATTTATTTTTTTCCGTGTTTTATGTTTCTATGATTATAGTTTTCTTTTTTCTTTTCTTTTTTTTGACTTCACTTCAAATATCTAAGTTCGTGTAGCTCCACCCGTGTGGGGAGCTTTCAACCTTATTTCGGAATCAAGTCCAAAATGCTGTCAAGATTCATTCATTTGAGAGTCACTCGTTTGGAATTACGTGACACATAATATTGGTGTCGGCAAGCAATTGCTCGAGCGAAAGAATTTTTCGTCGCATCATATTGAACAAATAATGGAAAGAAACACATTAAGTTTTTTTTTTTTTGTTTTTTTTTTTCCTTTTGTTTTGTTTTGTTTTTTTCTTTTTTTCACTGGATTGCTCCCCCAAAATTTTAACAGTATAATTTCATTGGTCTATATTTTACAAATTCTCTCTATTTTAAATCTCTGCGGTCAATTAATGTCTCCGGTCTCCTCATCTTTTCTTTATTTTCCCAGCAAGTTGGAAATATTTTTTTTTTTTTTTTCTGGAAAATTCATGTGGCGACCCGTAAATGGGCATATCCGTATTAATCCATGTTTGTGGCCTTGAGCTTCCGCAACATCTTTTCAAAAAGTAAATAAGCAAAGAAGATCAGAAGATTTCATTGTATTCGTTTGATGTTCTGTGTCATTTTCGAAGCGGCAACGATGCATTTACATCATCACCATAGAACAAGAAAAATAGAAAGAGCCCTTTTGGGATTTTTCGGCAAGGGGCACGTATTTGTGAACTATTGGGGCAGGTGGTGAGGGGGATTTAAAGGTGTTTTCATTGTTAAGAAAAAAAAAATAAATGAAGGTAGTTTATGTAGTTGTCTACATTAAATGGGGTGGGACAATTTTTATGTACCGTTCTGGGTTGATATAATTATTATATTTTAATTAAATGTATTTTCTTTTTATTTTTTATTAAAAGTTGAAAGATACTCTCTCTGTCCCAAAATTATTGTCCAGTTGAGATTTCACTTCTATTACAATTTGAACCATAGTAGTAAGTATCGTACGATATGTATCACATGATACGTATCAAAATTAAAGATTTTGATACGTATCATAGTATGTATCGCAATCGCTTGTGTATCGGTCAAATACCGATACGTATCATACGATACATACAATTGTGTATCGTACGATACAAAACATAGGTAAAGAATTAATTTTTTCTTAAAAGAATTCAAATTGTGACCATTTAAATTTCAAATTAAGAGCGAATTTCATTTACAATTTGTTAAATAGATACTTTTGATTTATTTCATAAACATAATCTTCCTCAATTGTCAATAAAATCGATAAATAAATTATTCTAGTTAAAAAATAAAATTAGTTAAAAATATTTTTTATTCATAATATCATTTTCTTTCTTTTTTAAATCAATTATAACTAATAGCATGTTAATAAATGCAATACATATTTATATTAATTTCTCTCTATTAAATTTATGACTTAATAACAATTATTATGAAAAATAATATTTATTACATAGGTTTGACGACCATTATTCATATAATGAATAAGTAATATGTGTAACTTTCAAATAATTTTGAATTCAACTTAATCAATTTATTTGTTTATAATTGAAAAATAAAAAAAATACATAAATATATCAACTACATATGAAGTTTATGATATTTATTATTTTTTTTTATAGATATTAGTATATTCAAACGTATCTTACGATACGATACACGATACGATACACGCATCATAAATCTATGTTTCCGATACACGATACGTATCCCGCTTTGATAACTATGATTTGAACTAAAAATAAAAACTCAAACTGAACAATAATTATGGGATGGAGGAAGTATAAACAACGGACTCTTTTTAAATTCGCACAACACACTATTTGAAGTAGGTAAAAAGATTATAAGCCGATGTTAAGTAATTAGAAATCGATTTTACTCAACCTTAATTTGTCACCTTCACTAGAAACATCTTATGATCATCAGGTAATTAAATTGACACTTATATGAACTCATACGTATGTAATTTGCCTCAATTAATTATTGCTTTTTATATAACCGGCAGAATATTTTCTTCACACTTTAAGATGTAACCCAAGATGTTTAAAAAAAATCCGATCCAAAACCCTTTAGACCGGTGTATGCCCAGTATATATGGATAGGCTATTAAAAAAGGACGAAACAAGTAGTATTCTTTTTTTTCTCTAAAAAAATGGCTGCTATACTGTGTTAGAAAACTTTACTTGTATTAATTTTTTTTTCTTCGTTTTATCGATTTAAAGATGATAGGATTCTTTTTTTATTTTTTATTTTTTATTTTTTTATAATTTGAAACGCACCACAGATTAACCATTTCACAAGTGGCCCATATCTAACTTAGATTAGATAAAAGTTGTTCACATTGGTTTTTTTCCATCATGCCATAATACATTTAGCATCAACTTTAAGATTAAAAAGAAACAAAAACAAAAACAAAAAAGAAAACAAGAACACAAAAAAAAAAAAAAAAATGACGAGTCATAAATTAACCCTAGGTCTGTTGGGCCTAGAATTGGGTTAATTGGAGATTAAGCCACCGCCTAAATCTATTCCGCTAGGTTTCAGGAAACAGGTAACACTATCTCTATATAAAGAGGTGGTGCCTCTCTCATAATTCATATCTTCTACCTATCTTCTACACCTTCTACACACGATACACATCATTTTCTCTCTATTTTCTTTATTCTCTTATTGACTTAAGTATCGGAGAGTCAACCCCTCAGAATACATCCGAGACTCTGTCTTGCAGGTTTGGGCCATCCGCCGCCGCTTAGGTCATCATCGCCGCCCGTCCTAAGCACCGTACAAATCCATGCTTCGCCAAGTGGCACGCCTAGTGCTTTGTTTGGTCTTCACAACCAAATAATTTCTTGAAGCAAAGTTGAAATTTGTTGGGGCTTTAAGCTGCGCAGCATCACCAGCATCATGGCGCAAGACAAACAACAAACAACTGCTACTGCCGCTGAAAAAGACAAGCAGCCAACTCCGGCGGAACCATCCTCTAACAGGCCGCCTGGTGGTTTGTTTGATCAAAACCTCATGGAGGCCTTTTTCAAATTTCAGCCTACCTTGTTTAACAAATTCCAAGATTTTGTGAAGAGCTTTCATGAGCTCGATGGCAATCAGCGACAACTCTTAGTAAATAACTAGATACTTTCTCAAAAGATCGAGAGCCAAACCCTAGGGGCAGTTCTCGAGAACATCACACTATGAATCGAGAAGATGCTCATCTTTCTCAAGCAGTCATATCTTCGACGCGGATACCTTCAACCATCAAGGAACAACTACGCAAGATTCTCGGACCTATAGGAGGGGGTCATGAAGAGGATTACAGTCCATTCATCCAACGTATCCGGGGTGTTCCATGCCCGAGAAGTTTGAACTTCCAGATCTGAAGTCTTATGGAGGTGATATGGATCCCATGGTGTTTCTGCAGACTTATAAGAGTGCCATGAGATTAAGGAATGCTTCCAATGATTTCATGTGCAAGGCGTTCCCTACATACCTTACGGGACAAGCACAACTTTGGTTTGGAACACTACCTTCGAGAAGTGTTCAGTCGTTTTACGAGTTGGGGACTTTGTTCCACACAAGATTCTTCCAAGGTAAGAAGATTCGCAAGACGATCACTGAATTGATGTCCCTCAGGCAAGAACGAGAAGAATCTATTGGAGCTTATTATAGTCGCTTCACCAAGGAACAACTTCAAGCAGAAGGAATATCTGAGGAGACTGTGGTTGCCACCTTCATTAATGATCTTTATCCATATGGGGCACCTACTACTTTGAGACAAAAGCTGACAAAGGAGCCGCCACATACGCTACAACTGCTGTTTTCAATTGTTGAAACTGAAGTTCGGGCGGAAGAGGATCTCCGTCGAGCCAGAGACAGCCTATATATCTACGAGAAGAAACGACCTGAGGACAGAGTTCAGGACTCGGGGGCAGAGCGTGATCGAGGTTGTGAACGTGATTAGCACCAGGATAGGGGCAAGCGTAAGATAGATGCTCAATACAAGCCCTTAACTCGTCCTCGGACAGAGGTACTAGAACTTTGAGAAGACCGCTCGAGAACTATTTTGGATTCAGAGAAAAGCCAGAAGCACCCATGGTGTGAGTTTCATCAGAGTTATGGACACGACACTGATGATTGCAAAGCTCTACAGAGTTATGTAGAGAAAGGTCTTCAAGAAGGAAAGTTCACAGCATACACACAGCATAGAGGTCGTGAGAATGAAGAGCATGATCCTAAGAACAACCGCCCAATGATCGAAATACCTTGATCCAGAGCCGACGTCGAGTAAGGTTTTGAATAATCTCCGAGAAGTTTCCCTTTCTCGGATGGCTTCCTACGTTTAGTATTTCAATTTCAATATTTATGCTTTTTCAATACTGTTAAGACATTAACGACTCTACTTCGAGGAAAACTTAAACTCCTCCTTTATTATTATTACTGCAATATCTTTGTCGAAGTTCAATGGCAGAATCCACAAGCTTGAGCCACTTGAGCTCAATCTCCTAAGAAGTCCTTATGCACCACGTTCCTCGAGAAGACCACCACCTATCGACCATTGTCCTTCCGAGGACCTTCTTCTGTCGATCATTGTCTTCTCGAGAACCCTTCTCCAGCGGCTACTCATCCATTCGAGGACCGTTCTTTCACAGACCATTGTCTCTCACAGAGACCGTCTTTTCATAGACCTTTGTCCTCCTAAAGATCGTCCTTTGGAAAGACCTTCCATTGTCGACCATTGTCCTTCCGAGGACCACCCCTTGTCGGCCTTTGTCTTTCCAAGGACCCCGTAATCGTCGACCCTTGTCCCCTCGAGGACTTTCTTCTGTCGACCATCACCCTTTTGTTCATTTTGCAGGAACATCATGTTCGAGAACTGGGGCAACATTACAGAAATCGAGAAGCCGTCAAAACTCCAATCTCGTACTCGTAGCAACCCATATTCTTTTCATCAAGTCTCGAGAATATGGCTTGCTAGGGGCACTTGACGAGTCATAAATTAACCCTAGGCCTATTGGGCCTAGAATTGGGTTAATTGGAGATTAAGCCACCGCCTAAATCTATTCCGCTAGGGTTTCAGGAAACAAGTAACACCACCTCTATATAAAGAGGTGGTGTCTCTCTCATAATTCATATCTTCTACCTATCTTCTACACCATCTACACACGATACACATCATTCTCTCTCTATTTTTTTTATTCTCTTATTGACTTAAGTATCGAAGAGTCTACCCTCGGAAGACACCCGAGACTCTGTCTTGCAGGTTTGGGCCGTCCACCGTCGCCTAGATCATCATCGCCGCCCGTCCTAAGCACCGTACAAATTCATGCTTCGTCAAAAAAAGAAGAAGAAAAAAGGAAAAAGAAAAGGAGATTGGCAAATACAAAAGATTTACATTACAAAAATATATACTGATCACGCGAGAGTGCATTACAAAGGAAACACCACTTACAACTAATTATCTCTTCCGTCTCAAAATATTACAATAAACATTGACAATCATTTTGAGACAAAAAGAAATAAATCCTTACATAAACAACAAACAAGAACTCCACACACAAAGCTCTTATTTAGGCAGGTTTCACTAAACAAACTCCACAGAAAAGCAGAATACAAAGTGGAAGAATATTAGTAGAAAAGATGAGGAACCATAACATATAGATTCACTCATATATAAACGCGTCTATATGCATATGATTGATTGATCATCCCGGGTGGGGATGATGAATCAATTAATGATCAGTTGAAGAAATGATGTTTCTTCTTGCCGCCCTCGGCTTCTTCCTCAGCTTCCTTGGCTTCCTTCTTGTCGTGGTGCTCATGGAATGCAAATCCACCGGATCCGACCGCCGCCACCGCGGCCACCTCCTCCTCTATTTTGTGCCTCCGGGCATTCTCTGGGTCCTTCTTTGCCTCATGCTTCTCATACTGCCGTTAACATTAATTTGCATGCAAAAGTTTAATTATAATATCACGATGCACATACATAATTCTATCATTAATATTACGTATCTAGGAAGCGTAAAAATCATTATTTAAAATTATTTTTTTTCGTAATACTATTACAAATTGTCACACACCATATTTAGATTAATCATTTGATTAACGTGTTAACTCAAATTAATATTGAGACGGAAGATGTATTATTTCTTGATTAAAGAAATTAAGAAATTTATTAGGACGTACCAGAGCAAATGCACCAGCGGCTAGGGCACCAACGCCGCCAGCCTCCTCAAGTCTTTTGTGGTGCCTCTTTTCTTTCTCATAATCTGGCTTTTCAGAATCATCAACGTCTACATCACCACCGCCGTATCCGCCCCCGGTGGTGGCGCCACCACCGTAACCAGCGCCGCCGGTGGTGGTATCATCACCGGAGTACTTGTTATACCCACCAGCTTGATCATTTCCATATTCACTTCCACCACCACCAGTACCGTAGCCACTGCCGTAACCAGCTGCTGCGCCACCACCACCGCTGGAGTACTTGTCATCGAAACCGGTGGTGGTATCATCACTGGAGTACTTGTTGTACCCGGTGGTGGTGTCGCCGGAATATTGATCGTTGTACCCGGTTCCGGTGGTGGTATCACCGGAGTACTTGTTGTAGCCGGTTTCAGTACTAGTGTTATAGTCGTTATCGTAGTTTGTTTTCACTTGCTCGTCATCATCATCTTTCTTGTGGTGGAAGAAGCCATGGTGGTGCTTCTCTTCAGCCATGATAATCAAAAATAAAAACTAAAGTTTGACTTGGGTAAATGAAATTTGATCAGAGATGGATGAGAAGAAGTAGAATGTTTTTGTGCTTTTCACTTGTAGTAGAGTGATAGTGGAGGGGTGTTTTTATAGGCCAATGCACACTAATGTGTCCAACTCTTACAAACGAGATATTTAATCTCATATTTTGTGTACCAAATATTGCATTATGTGACATGATTTTTTTTTTTTTGAGGCATACATTTTTTAAGTTTAATAATTCCTCTGTTCCAAAATTATTGTCCTGTTTAGATTTTATTTTTAGTGCAGTTTGAGCTGAAAATGAAAATCTAAACTGGGCAATCATTTCAGGATGAAGAGAGTAATAATAATGATTAAGTTTATTTATATCGCAGTTTCCCAAATTAGAGTCTGTGAAGATTTATTTTATTCGATAATATTGGAGATAAATTAACAAAGTGCATAAACAAAATGATGCTTTCCCTCTGTTATAGAAGAATTTATGTTTATTGTGTGTTATTTTAGTCAATAAATAGGAGGGGATCATTATTTACTGATAAAGGGGATACTTGGAAAATTGAGACAATATCTCATCTTAAAAATATATTGGACGTCTTAAAAGTTAATTTTATGTGGTGGGAGTTGGATTAAATGGTTTTGATGAGTCATTATTTTCCAAACATCACTGGTGGGGGCGCTATCTTTGCCGACATGCATGATTTATTCTGAAAAAGGAAGTGGCATAAGCACAGTTTACTTCGTGATCCAAAATGAAAAATGGGCTAAAATTCTTTGGAATATGCTATTAGTCTATGAACTGTATCAATTGAAATGAAAAAAAATATCTTTATGCTTGACCTACAGGAGTGGAAAATCCTTTGGATTCTTCCAAACATTAATGATATTGCAATCAAAGTACTCGCTAACCCTCCATAACATAATACTTCTTTCGTCCCATAATTATTGTCCAATTTGAGTTTTGATTTCTAATTCAAATTGTACTAAAAGTGAAATCTCAAACTGGACAATAATTTTGAGACAGAGAGAGTACAACACAATAAGAATTATTTTGAGACGAATGAAATATTGAGTTAGAGATGCAGTAGTGAAATTAATATTTATGCTTAGTACATAGCTCAATTAAAATTGCATCTTTTCTCCCCATAAATGTTGTGCACTTTTTACGATTGATCACGGAATAAGCATGTAAACCATTACAACTCTATTACAACTGTATGGATTACATTGATCGGCCTCTTTTGAAATTCATGAAATTGTTTACTTCCCTTAGAATTTGGGCAAAAAATTCTGTCCTTGGGGAAGGATGTATAATACATATGTCTATTAACCAGTGGAGTTAATAAACATTTTTAAGTTTTAACCTCTTAAAACCGAATACTCCCTCCGTCCCATAATTATTGTCCTGTTTGGATTTTCATTTTTAGTTCAAATTGTACTAAAAGTGAAATTTCAAACTAAACAATAAGTTTAGGACAGAGTGAGTAATTAATTAGTAAAAAAGGCAATAGTTTCTGCAAAGCTAATGAAAGGTCTGCAGTCCACACCTTTAAACATATCATTGATTGGTGTAAAATCTGAATGGGGGGATCCGATTGTATTTATTCTTTGTTAAGTAAACATTTCGATCCGTCGTGGCTCAAGATTGGTGGTTGATTATAGAGTACTATAGTTATCAGACATACCTTTCCAAGATTTAGTCTAATTGATGTTTAGAGTGAGTAACGACTGACGAGTGTGTTTGGAATGTTGGCCTAAAAAAATCTGGGTTTTCTTATATGAAAACAAAGTCGTCTGAAATTGTCGAGTACGTGTAATATTTTTATGGGTTTGAATTTGATTGATTGTAAATTTGGAAGAAACGCAGCGTGGGATTAATTGGGAACTGTTCTTGCCGGGTTGTCCAGATTACGAAATTGAGTTACAAATATAAATTGTATTTAAAAAAAGGGAAAAAAATACTCCTATTTTGTGTACTAATTTAGTTTATCGAATAAAATTTTTATTTTGGAAACGCACAATTTTTCGATAAAAATCAAATATTAAGAGGAAAATATTTATCAGTGGGATTCACTAACAAGTTTTTTTTTATTAATTATGGACGGATGAGGATTATGGAACAAGGGGAAAAAATTGATCTTTAATTACTCTCTCTCATAGGGGTAGTATCAACATTTTCCTCTAAGTCAACATTATCGAATATACTGCTCAATATTAATTTCAATTTTGATTAATTTGGTTTGCATAAAAACGTTTTCTGTTCGAACTAATAACTAGCTAGCTCGCTCTACACACACATACAAAAAGAAGAAGTTTTCAAATGAGTAAGAGTGTAAGACGAGTTACTGTTGAGTGAGTGCAACACTTGCACCACGTCAATCTCCACAATTAGATATACATTTTTTTTCCAAAAATAATAAAAATAAAAAATCATTATGTACTTAACCCTTTCCTAAGACGACTAATTTCAATATTGTATTCCACCGTCTCATAATTATTGTCTAGTTTAGGTTTTCATTTCTAGTACAAATTGTACCGAAAGTGAAATCTCAATCTGGAAAATAATTTTGAGACAGAGGGAGTAATTGATATTGGGCTGAACAATGGAAAGAAAATAAAAAGGAAAAAAAGGCTGAAGTGTTGAATATGGTACGTAGGGACCAGTTGGTGGTCATTGAATAGTTTTTCCCAAACGTATTGTATTTGTTGGAAGAGCGCAAATTATTAGTAGTAGATATTTTATACAGTAACCAAGCAAACACAAGAAATTCATTAATGCAAATGTACATCACCTGGTGTAAAAATATGACTCTCTCTTTTAGAACGAAGAGAGTATATAGTTATAAAATAAAAATACAACCCATAATCAATTCGTCAAAATACACAGGTAGTACACAACATTATTTCTCGCTCACAAATTAAAGAGACAATTCAAACACTTTGTGTGCGTGGGGGGCGGGAACAGTTTCATCATTAATTAAAGCTCATAATTAAATTTTATTTAAAAGAGGTGGTGATGTTTCTTTCCCTCGGCCTCTTCTTCTTCCTTTTTGGCTTCCTTCTTCTCATGATGCTCGTGGAATGCCATCCCACCGGCCCCTACAGCCACTGCCTCTGCTATCCTTTCCTCCATCTTATGCCTGTGTGCATGCTCTGGATCCTCTTTAGCCTCCTTCTTCTCATGCTGGATTTCATTTATTTCAGTGAATTAGTAAATTGATGAACCACCAAAAGGGCCAGATATTTAGATAAAAATCAACTAAAGTTTTATATTCTAAAGTTATAAGAAAATGATTCATTGACTAGATGATTTCACTTGAAGACTAAGATAGTATGAATTCTGATCTATTATATACTATCTCTGTCCTGAACTTATTGTCTAGTTTGAATATTTACTTTTAGTTGAATTCGTTAAAAAGACATCATATACTGTCTGAATGATGTATAATTTTACCACATAATCTGATACAAAATAGTATACCATGATGAAAAACACATCAATACAGTGGTTCAATTTTTTTTTTTTTTCATAAGTTGACCGAAGTGTTTGAGAAATCACTAAATACAGATAAAACAATATAATTAGTTTAGCTAGAAGATATGTACTTATACGTAACAATTCATTAAAAATTAATTATACCAGGGCGAAGGCGCCGGCGGCGGCAGCTCCGACCTCGTCGAGCCGGCCGAGATGCTTGTGGTGCTTCTCTTCTTTCTCATACTTATGAACTGCCTCATAATCTATGGGTTTATCCTCTTCTCCTTCCCTTTTCTCGTGGTGGAAGAGGTGGTGCCGGGGCTTCTCTTCTTCCGCCATAAATATAAGCTTGATTTTCCGATGTGATTTTGCTAATATTCTTTTTTTTTTTTTTTGTGGCAAAAGTATAATGTTTTCTGATTGTGTGTGTACACTTTATAATCAGCTTGTATTTATAAGTCTCTCTTAATGGTGAAATGGTGGAAGATAAAGTGTGATAAATTATAATTTAAGTTTTCCCCATCACCAAATTAACCACGATTTTTGGTCTGATATTTTCCATGAGTCCATTTCTGTGGTTGTCTTTCATTTAGCACTTTATTAATAATGCACTTAATTAATCACCTCTATGACTAACGACAATGGGATCGCACTTTTTGCATCTACTCTATGTCTAGTTGAACAATAACAATATTTTACTTTTGGGTACCAATCATATTTAAGAGAAATTCTTTAGAACCGGCTAAGTGATAATGATTGAAAATCGACGATATATAATGTTTTATATAGATGGAAATTGTGATTCAACGGATAAAATTACAGTAACGCATACTACAAAATTTCCCTTATTTCATAATCGACGATATACAATATGACACTTTTACGTTGTTTTCTCAATAAAATAAATGAAAAACTTATGAATTTGTAAATCAAGGTTAGTCATCCTTACTTTAGTTTGTTGTACCAAAAATCAGGATGAATATGGTTGTGCCACTGCCATCTGTCTAGGTAATCTTTGCTAATCTAGTTGTCAAGAATTCTGAGTTCAGACTTTAATTAGTTAGAGTCGTCCCACAGTTATTTAATGCAACTTCCAAAATCAACGCATTTCCTGTGATTACGTTCCAAATGTACACAGGAAGAGAAATCTGCATCCAATTATGATTTTTTGTAATATTAAACTGAATTATTAGTGGCAGGTAGATCAACCAACCTCACAAATAATAACAAGAAGTTTGATTCTTCTTCTTTTTCCTTTTTTTTTTCTCTCTACGGAATGAATTAATGTACTCAATGCCAAAAAGGAAAATTGTACCCAAGTGCCGATTAATTATTTAGAAATGAGAGATATTTCCCAAGAAAGAAGGAAAAAGACCTTTTATTATGTGGATATAATTGCATACATGAACCAAAACCCTAAAACCGAACCCTCATGGTTTGATTAGTACCGTTATTGTAAATTTGATGCTCTAGAAACAATGCACGTTCATGCCCGCGGCACATATTTACATAACACAAATGATCTCATATTTATCATGTATATATGTGTTAACATGATATCGTCTATTTTTCTCTAAATCTAATCTTGACTGAAATTAAAGAAGAACACGCAATAATTATATACAATTATTAATTTCCTTACCTTTTAATTTCATCTCTACTAATTAATCATAACTTTTACAACATAATGAAATTTCATAGTCGCTTTCTTGAGGACGGTTCTTGCACGAATTTAGAGTGTTTCAATACGTTATTTTCCAACCTAAAAAACAAGCCATGATCTGAGGGGGGTGTGGAACTAAATTGTAATCAATTAGACAGTTGAAATTCGGTGTCGGCAAGGCACGTTTACTCACCTTTCCATCCAGCTCCTCTGCCCTACCATACATATTAAAGAAAAAAGATGAGAATATTCTTAATCGTATCCAACAGATCCTTTGTTAATTTTTTAAAGTGTAATAATTCCAATCAATTCAGCTTATGGATAGTATGTTTCCAAATCTTTGATTAACTAGCTAAATGCTTTTAACCAAGTAAGTATTAAACTACAGGAATTTAAAAAATCATAAAAATTACTATCTGATTTCTAAAAATCTCTCTCAATAAAAACGAACTAATAGATCCGCTATATACTCGTAGTCTCTACGTAAAAACTAATAATAATAATAATAATAATTCACTTCAAGTAATACAAATCGTAATATTTTACTCAAAATTACTTTTTATGAGACAGAAAAAATATATGAAATTTTACACTGAATCGACCAGTTTGGTTATAGATTCAATTGAAAGACCAACACAAATATAACAAGTTTTATACGCGTGCATAATTCACTTACATTATGAAACATATTAACCTAAAGAGATTTTTACGAATCATAACATATATAATCTATATTCGTCCCAAAATCAAAGTTATATTTGTAGTACAACACTAAATAGATGCGACTCTTCTCTAAGATAGAGAAAGTAGTTTGTACCGGAAAGTCTAATTCCCAAAATTGATTTCACATCATGGAGATGCATGAAACTACTAATTAAGACCCTATAAATGAAAGATACTAATATATGTAGTTAATCAGCTGCCAGAATAATTTCAGTTGGAGTCAAATAACAAAAGCAAAAGGAAAAAAATTCTTCACACTCTAATTGATTTAGAGGAAATAGGGAAAAAAACGAAAATAAGAGAGAAGCAGAAGGAAAGGTACACATAGTGAACAATAATAATTTTGCTTTTAATGGTTTGAGTTGCGAACCATTTCCCCCACCTAGATTTACATCGTCACGAATTGAATCTAATTATTTAAGATCAACAAAAATCTTATTGTTTCTAATTATTGAATTGTAGAGAAGGCAACAGTTTTCAATTAAATATTTTGCGTATACGTAGTTGTCGTATTTTAGTGGTTGTATCTTGTTCTTGTTAATCATTGTTGGGCGAATTCCAGTAAAATTAATACAAAGTCTTTTATTTAAAAAAAGGGAAAAAAAAAAAAACAAAAATCTTCATATGATAAGAACAAAGAAAAACTGGACATTACACTTCAAATTTCAGAAAGCATAGGATCTATTGTTTTAATAATTCACAATTGCTTTCTCTGAAAGCCTCAAGGAAATGTACTGTTTTGTTTTTGAGAGTCAACATAGATCTGGTTTTGTGACTTATTTGACGGAGTCAACATAGTCCTTCTCTCCTTGGAGTGTGTACCACGTCGTAATGGCAGTTATTGACTTCTACTTCTTTCTAAGATTGTTCATCAATGAAATCAATGTTATTCACATAATTTGAAAAACTCATAATCATTGAAACTTGAAGAAGATGATGATAGTGCTTAATTATTTTTCTTCGACCTTTTCTTTCCCTTCTACTTAGCACTCTTCTTTTCATGATGTTCGTGGAATGCATATCATCCACCTCCAACTGCAGCAGCTGCTGCAATTTCTTCCTCAACCTTGTGCTTGTGGGAATGCCCTGGATCTTTCTTAGCTTCATGCTTCTCATGCTGATCTATCATCAATTCATCACAATTAGAAATTAATTTAGGAAAACCATGCATGCAAGATTGATTAGTGGGCAAAAAAGAAGAAGAAAAAGGAAATATATATACAAAGCAGAAGTTAATTGATTAAGTATAACAATGATTTTCGTCCATTGACAAACAGAGAAAGGTTGGAATCTTTATCACTTGGCCAATTACATTTTATGGATTCTGAAAGAAGTCGAGCATTTTCATTCATTCTTCTGTTTTTTTTTTCCCTCTCTTCTAACAAAGTGGACTATATTTTTGGAACGTATTAGGTATTTAGGTTTACCAGAGCATATGCAGCAGCAGCTGCATCGCCAAGTCCACCAACTTCTTCGAGATGCTTGTGGTGTTTCCTTTCTTTCTCGTTTCCCGGGACTGTGGGCTGTTCCTCCTTGTTGTGGTGGAAGAGATGGTGGTGGTGCTGCCCTTCCGCCATGTTGAAACTAAAACTGTAAACTCAAGTTTAGCTTAATTACGAGCGCCCTAATAATGAAACTGAATCATGTAAATAGTCAGCTATTTATAGAAAACAGATGATTGTTTGTTGATGTAACAGAATCTTAACTGAATGTCATATAAGGAAAATATACTGTTGGCTCATGAGGTGATAGAGCATATAAGGAAGAAAGAAGGCGACCTTCGACTCGGAGCCATCAAGTTAGATATGAGTAAAGCCTATGATCGGATATCTTGGCCCTTCCTACAAGCAGTACTCACACACGCAGGTCTGCCACCATCCTTGATAAAACTCATCATGTTCTGTGTGACTACAGTAACCTACTCTATCCAACTAAATGGTGCATTCCTTCCATATTTTGTACCAACCAAAGGATTAAGGTAAGGTTGTCCTCTTTCTCCTTATTTCTTCATTCTCTGTCAGCAAGTGTTATCCTCTGCCATCCGCTCTGAACTGAGGCTATTTCCAGAATTGGGAATCAAAATTAGTAGGCATGCCTCCCGTTTGAGTCATCTCATGTATACTGATGACTTATTTTTCATTGAGGCACGACATTCATCCATACAGGCATTTACAGGCCTTATTGAATCATATGCTACGTTCTCTGGATAAAGGATTAATCGGCACAAATCAGCTATTCTGCTTAGCTCAAATACCTCCCAGCATCTCAGAGATACCATTCATTCCACATTGGATTCCACAGGGCACCTTCAATAGCAAATATTTGGGTCTCTCTTTGGATTTCCAGGAAAAAAAGAAGATAATCTTCAAGAACTTTACTACACGTCTTACCAAGAAATGTGCGGATTGGAAGACTAAATTACTAAGCTTGCTGGCAGAGTTACCTTGGCCAAATCTATATTATCATCCATGTTGGTCTATCCAATGGGAGTTTTCAAACTCCCAGCTTTAACCCCGAGGAAAGCAGATAGCATTGTTGGACAATTCATTTGGAAAGGGATCAACAAACCAAGAGTATTCACTGGAGAGCATGGAAAAAAAATCACCAAATCTCCTTTCCATGGTGGACTTGGACTGAAAGCCACTGTTGAGTTCAATCAAGCTCTCCTGGTTAATCATGCCTGGAAAATTCTCACGTAGCCTGAATCACTATTATCCAAAGTCTATAGAGCCAAATACTGCGCAACAGAAGCCTTCCCACAAGTCCAAGTCCCAGATAATGCTACCTGGGGATATAAGAGTGTACTTTGGGGTGCACGACTGTTGCAACATAATACCAAATGAAAAGTGATCTCTGGCCAAAATATCAAAATCTCAGATGACTGGATTCCACACAACGTCAACCCAATCCAGCGTGATTCCTTTCTGACTGTTCACTCCAATTTAATGGTTAAGGATCTACTTCGCCCCAATGGTCAATGGAAACTTGCTTTCCTTCGAACAATTTTGCCAGATTACCTGATCACTTACATCTGTGGCATTTCATTGATCCATCATGCAGCGGGGACAAAGATCGACTACAATGGGTACACACATTCCATGGGAACTATATTGTCCATTCAGGATATCATACAGCACTGAATCACTCACATCAGGCACAGAACCAACACCTGAACATCAGTCCAGCCCACTTGCAGCAAGAACAAACTGCGTGGAAAAAGCTATGGAATTCCAACTCACAGCCGAAACATAAATTCCTCTTTTGGTGGGCAGCCATCCAAAATTGGTTTACAAAGACGAGGAGTTGAGATAGATTCTGCCTGCCCATGTTGCTATACGAGAGTTGAGGATGATCTTCATCTATTTTTCAATTGCCCAATCTCTCAGGCCATTTGGAGTTTTGCATATCCAAAATTTCAAACGATTCTGAATGGTGATGCAGCATCTATTTTCCAGTGGTTTACTCACTGGATACAAACCTCACCAACTCCACAAGATAGCACTCTCTTCCTTCACATATTTTGAAGGATATGGCTGGATCGTAACGACAAGCTCTGGCGAAGCCACACTATGAATCCGGTGACAACTTGGAGGTTGATTCAACAAGATTTCCAAATGTACCAAAAACTCAGTGCCAAACAAATTCTGAACCACTCTGCCACTCATCTCCAACCCCCAGAACAATCCCTAAGTCACGCCACAATTGTATTTGATGGTTCTTTTAACCCTCACACAAGGCAAGCAGCAGGTGCTTGGAAATTGACGTCCCCTACTGGTCAATTGATGCAGATTAAATCAATTTCCTTCAGCTCACTTTCTCCCTTCCAAACAGAAGCCATGACATGTTTACGCGCGTTACAGCAAGCAGAGAGCTTGGGGATTTCCCATGTTGAAGTTTACACAAACTGTGAACAATTAGTTTTACTCCAAAATCCTCTCGATCTCCCAAGTGAAGCCCAAGAAATTGTTAGTCTTCTACGTGTTTTAATTTCTCGTTTCCAATATTGCTGTCTGATTAAAGCCAGCCGCTTAGAAGTTAGTGATCTACATAATCTAGCTTATGTGAAAATGCAATATAATAGTATAGGTATCTCATAATTAATACCAGGTACCATTTAAAAAAAAAAAAGAAAACTGAATGTCATCAAAGGCTGCAGTTGAATGTGGATAATTGTAAGTGGTGATAATGCTTAGAATTAGTCTGATGAATCAGATGTAAAACTTTGGCCCGAAATTCGAAAACTCAATCTATGTTGGTGATAAGAGTTTAATTGCCTCTCATTTCCCTAGAACTTCAGCTGTATCCCAGACAAAATGTCTTCATGATACAAGAACTTTACAACATCGGAAGCCAAGTGAGGTTGTTTGCTGAAACAGACAAATGATAAGTAGGCGCCATAAATTAAGCAATGGACACCAAGATGAAAGAGATCCATACTGTCTTGGCTAATATGCGCATTAGCTTCAAATCTAGGAACATTCCTATAGCAATTGCAAATGAGATGAGTTATTGATTTATAGGGTGATTCTGCTACAAGAAGGCCTCTGAAATTAATGTGATTCCGAATTTCTTTGAGATGACTGCCTTCTTCTGTGAGGAAGTTCCATAACTTTTCGACTAGGTTGACAATGCAATTGAGGAACTGACCACTTTTTTCTGCAAACAGTTCACTAGTAAGTTCTTTTCCGGCGAACACATCTGCTATGATAGCTTGGTAGCAGTTATGACTTGTGAGCAACATGTTCTCTGAAATAGAGGCCTGCAGTTTCAGAAACGTGGCCCACATTGAGCTTCTACAAAGAAAAGCCAATGACTCCCCTGCACATATCCAGTAATTTGCAACAGTGACAATGAGGGAGGATTCATGAAGGAAAAGATGCTGCGTGACTGCTGCGAGCAATAAGGAGTAGGCTGCACTTATCTTGCTCATACTGAAAGCTTCCACTAGATGGTTGTGGTTTTCAGAAGGGAAAGCCATAAAATCACTGGCACGAACTCTGTATGCAGAAGCAAGTGTGGTGTATGCATTTAAACACAAATGGTGAAACTGATATAATCTTATGCATGATTGTGATATCCCTGATCTTGGCTCTAGCCGTACATTGGGGTGCCCATGTCTTAGTAACTCTTCAAGCTTTGTACAACACATTTCAGGGTTGTTAAATGTTAAATACTCATCTACAGCATTATCAAATACATCCATCAACTCCTGAGATGCATTGCTTTCATAGATGTCATCATCAGAAATTAAGTTCTGCCCATCAGGACTGCAAACCACTATCGCCTACATATTAGAAACCAACACATTTTTTACTACTCCATGTAAAGTCAGTAGAAAAATAAAAGAGCTTCAGAAATTGTCACACGCTACAGAGACATTTTAAAGTTTGTTCTTTTTGTTCATCTTTAGGAAAAAATTGTTGAAGGCAAACGATTTTGGGGGCCATGTTTGGTGGAGGGACAGAAGGCAGATAACCAAAACAAGAACTAAACTGGAGGAACAAAAGAAGCAGTGCAGTATTGAGTATTGACAAAATAGAAGGAAAGAAAGACATACTTTAACAAACAAAGATTTTCATTCAAGAGAGAAATAACTAAGAGAGACTCACCGACTTATACGAACATTGAAAAGAAAGCTAACAAACACAGTGGTGCATGCACAGTAGGCAGAGATGACAGTGATACCATTGTATAGGCTCAAGACGCCAAAATGATTACATACAGAAAAGTGTTTACCTGTAAAGCTTGGTCAACATAAGTAGCAGGTGTCGCTCGACATCGCTTACAGCAACAACTGAATTGGTATTTTGCGAGTAATTCTCGGTGTCTCACAACCTATAGAAATGTAAGATCACCAAAAAAGAGAATCAATTATCATTGCATGTTTTTTAATCAAGTTTGATGGGTCGCAAACCAAGGCAGTACAAACATACCAAAATGACCAACATTAACGAATGCAAGGAGGATATAACTCCGAAAACATGAAGAGAAATTACAATATCCTTGATTAATGCATCTCTATGAATACAGTGAAGATCTATCCTAGAATCATAAAAAAGCAGTACTGCTCTACAAATGCAGAGATAAGCTCTCAATGTCAAACAACACAGAAAAGGAACACAAATTAAACTTGAGAAAATTCAGCTTCAATGACATCTGCTTAAGGAGGCCAAAAAGAGTTCAAATTATTGGACAAATGACTATACTCAGAGTCCAAATGAGTATGGTCTACTACTGGTGATGATAATTTTTATAGGATGTACTAAAGCTACACTTAAACTGTGCTATGTAATAGGCCTGATTTAAACAATCACAATATTTATCCAAAACATCGACAAGATTAACCTTAGCCTAAGAACAAGGAAAATGAAAACTTTATCACTACCGGAGTAACATCATGAGCAGGCATCATAACAGCATCACCTATTGAAGAATGATATCCATACCTTAGGTTGTAACAGGTCAGTGTATGATATAGTAACCTCCTCATCTTTCTTAATGTCTTGTATACTCCGGACTATGATCCTTGGACCGTATCCCTCCCTTCCTATTCCTAGAAACATGGTAATGCAACAAGGTTAATAATAATCAACACCGACCAAAGGACAAACACAGGTGCCAACCCAACAATGTTTCCTAACAAGTGCTGAGTTATTTCAAAATCTTTTTAGGAACTACTGAAGTTCTAAACTTAATGGCAGATATAGTATAACTGACCCACTTGTCATGTCACTGGCAGGTCCAGCTGCATCATCACCTTCACCACCGCCATCGTCGATCATAGCTGCCGGATAAATCCTCAACTGCGCATTACGATCCACTTCAGCTGTCATTTCTGTAAAACGGTAACAAGCATTGGGGGAACAGCTATGATTAATCCACGAAAATGCAGTATCATAAACCCCAATCCCCACATTTCTCCCCTTGTTATCCTGCACCTCCACAGCATTCGTCAGCACCAAGCAAACCATAGCCTCTGCCACCGCCGCCATATCATCCCCAAAATTTCCCGCCAAAAGCATCCTGGAGGCACCTTCCTTAATCATACCAAGTACGTTGTCCCCCGAATCGTCATTCCTTTCAATCGCGGCAAATCTCTCGTAATTAGTCACTAAACCACCAATCCTGGTCAAATTAACAGCCTCGGTCCGATTGCCGATGAAGTGATTAAGGAGGCGGAGGGAAAGACAGATGCTGGAGGAACCTAGAGGAGAAGTAGGAGGGGATGGGGTTTGACAGAGGAGGTTGTGTTCGGATGAAGAGGAGTGTAAAGGGGAATCGTCGGAGCAACAACGAGGGGAGCAGTAGACTAGGGTATGAGCATCGCCGGAATCCGGCGGAAGAGTTGGTGGAAAAGGGGAATCGGGAAGCGGACGACAACAGGCGGAGCAGTGGGTGGAGAGATAAGAGTCGTGGAGGCAGAAGGCTAAGGGCGGGAGTGGAGGAATTATCAGGTCTTCCGCCATATCTATGTCTTCCACTGCTCTCATCTCCATTCTTTTTCCTCCCTCTCGCTTCTCAGGATTTTTGGACGAAATGAAAAGGAAGAAAAGGGTCATTCGAAAAAATGATGAATTATTTGGTCTGTAAAGTTTTTGTCCTTCCGCTTGCAGATCAAATTCCTATATTCCGTCTCAAAATAATTGTCTAATAATTCCAGCACAACAAAAAGAAGTGTAGGACAATCATTTTGGATGCCTCAACTCAATTGGAACAAAATCTTAAGCACTGTATATTTGGAAATTGGAAGAAAACAATATGAATGATTGATTAAACTCAGCTCCAGCATTGCTCTTTTAGCTTTCAATCTAATATCGCAATTTACAGTTGCTTTCAACCTAAAAATGAGTCTCAAATTTAAAAATCTCGTGAAATGTTGCTACATGATTTGAATCCACTATGCTTGGAAATGGAAGCTCTGTGTAACCGTTTCTCTGCATTTTGTACACAAGAATAGTGTATCAAAGTGATTGTTTGAGATACAGAGGTGAAAACTATGTATCCATACACCAGGCGGTCGTCAACACAGCTACTGTTTGACTTGCAGTGAGGCTTCAATCCGCTGTATTAGTTGGTCAGCCGTAAGAGCACCCTCCTGCAAAGAGGGAAACACAAATGTTAGGTCTTGGTTGTACCAACAAAAACCATTTGAAAGTTACACAACATTCGAGTGCATTCAAATAAGCAATTCATCCGGAAAGAATATAAACATTGGTACATTCAATCAGCACTTTACTCTCGGTTTCAGTATAGAGAAAATGAAGAAGGAATTGCCTTTATACTTACAAAACGGTCATGAGGTTTTCCGTCTTTAAATAAGATAAATGTTGGGAGAGCCTCAATTCTATATTTGTCTGCAATACTTGGGTATTTCTCAGTATCAATTTTCACCACTTGGATCTTATCTTTCAAGGTAGTCCCAACTTCATTGAGAATGGGCACCATAAACTGGCAAGGACCGCACCTGCAAAAATTGAAGAACAACTCATCATTGCAACAAGCTCACAGTCAAAGTCTATATAATCCTTCAGTTTGTTGCCAAAAGATGTCCCTAAATGCGAGTCAAAATGGAATTCAAAAGACTTCTCCATCATTAACATGTATGATTACTTACCAGGTAGCATAGAAGTCAACCAACACTGGTTTGTCGGAATTTTCTAGCAAGTCATCAAAAGTGGAAAATGTTTGCTTCTTTGCTTCCACCTAATAGATACATGCATTGAAATTTGAAATGTTACCATCAGAAACTAAACCCTGTAACCAGTAAACCAGTAAACTGTAAAGGAAACAGAAAATCATTTTGGCAAAATTGAAAAGAATAAAAGTGAGAGCAAGATGGAGAAAATTATCAGACATGAAACTTTTAAACTGGAAAATCCTGCTATATTTAAGTCAAATTAGTAGCTTATTCTAGTCCAAACACTACATGTAGTTATTAAATTTCTAGAGCCAAGCTCCTGAAAGCATACGAGTAACCAACATTAATAAATACATGATCCCGCTAAGCAAAGCAAGATGCACTGGTATAGAAATCCATAACAAGACCAACAGAAGCCACTACATATAGCTGTAGTGCACCACTTATGAAATAGAGTTCTGCCAATATAATGTATCATTGACAGGTTCATGCTACTAGCACTAGCAGACAGTGTCAACAATCAGCATTGTCCCCTTAATGAAACTATACACTTTGTAACAATATATCATTTGCTCTTAGCTTGTCATAATGGACCACTGCATCAGATACACATAAATACATAATCGACCACGCAAAGAGAGAAATTGAGTAGCTGAGGCCTCAGTTTATCAAAGAACTCCGTCTCGTTCAAACAAGCACAGATATATAGGTACCATCATGTAGTGTGAACAGTGCACATCAAATAGCTGAGCCGAAGACAGCTTAACGGCAGAGCACAAAATATGATTCACCTGTAAAGGCCTTACCCCAAGAGATCATTTTAGATACCAGATGCAGAGAAGCCAAATTTAACCTGGTTCTCCCAGCTCATATCCTCTCAATACGTTAGTACCATGAATTTTACATATTAATTGTCGAAAGATACACTGAACAGCGGAAAAGATCATCAAACACGGAAACGAGTGAAAAAGAAGAGCTGCTAATTAACATCCCAGTTCCCTTTACAAGCGTGCCAAAAAAAAAACTCAGCAGCAGCATTAGGTTCATGGGGGAAGGAAGGAAAGAGGTATCTTAACAGCTAGAAACTTAACCCCGAGTACTGTGGACAAAGGAAGAAGACAGATTTAGTTAACATTGTAGGAGTTGTCTACAGTACTACATCTCACATGAATTTGTTCTTCCATCTCTATACAGATCGCAAACTCCTTTCAAGAATGTGATATCTTTATATGGACTAACTAGGGGACAAGCATTTTATGTCCCTAATATAGATTCTTGGCAATTATGAGGGGGTACCCTGAGGTTCTGAAACAATCTATTTGGGAATCATCAAATCTACCTAACCTTGCTCAATGTATCAAGTCAGCACATCACTTGGCCCATTTAATAACAAACTCTCCGACCATATCCCAAGCTTAATCCAGAATTTACACAAATTCAAAGGGGAATATGTCTATTCCCAAAAACAGAAAAACTCTTTCCCATGTTTTTTTTTATCAGTCACTTTCCTAAGTTTGATTTGCAAGAAAAACAAATGCATTGTCCTATATTTAAAAATTCGACCACCAAAAACAAAAAAGAAAAAAAGAAAAGAAGAAAAAGAAACCCTATGAAATTCAGCAGAGCTAAATCATTCACAGTTCGCCCCCATAGCATGCTTCTTGGGATATACATTCATTCCACCAGGCGCAGAAGACTTGATGTCAATTAGTAATTCAGGAAATCAATAAACACTAGGAGTACAAAGTAAACCCCCAAAAACCCAATAATGCTCGGAGTCACTATGCAATTAAGGTCACTTTCAACCGAAACCATAATATCAAAAATAGACATGAAGACTATTTCAATAGCTCAACGTTGGTCCAAAAAGGTAAGTAAAACAAATATCACGCCAGGAAATCCAATAAACTCGAAAAACGAATTAACAAAAAAACAAAAACATCCCACTTAAGGTGAGAGAAATTATCGAGTAATACCACAAGAGGAAGATTTCTGGGGTTACGCCTGGATTCGGCGACTTGATTTTTTATGCCAAATCCGCGTAACGCTCTGGGGAACTGCAGAGAAGATAGGTGAGCAAGCTTGGCGGAATTTAAAGAAGACGCAACCGGGTCTGGATTGAGTGAGTAAACTGTGGCTGCGGATAGAGAACTCGCCATTTCAGTAGTCTCTCGCTCACGCAGCAGAGGAAAATCTTAACCCAGAAAGTGTGGAGAATGGAGAAGATTGTGGATGAACAATATTGTAATGCTCGCTGGCCGTTGTCTTTTTTCTGATTAAATATCTCTAAACAGTCATGAACTTGAAAAAAAAAAAAAACAAACCAAAAGGCGTGAAATTTAAAGGAAAGACTTGGGACACGACTTCTAAAATTGGGCTATTTTACAAAATAGTACTGACTCCATAAAAATAGTCCAAAGTGTACCATAATAAAGCTTTAAAATCTAATTTTCCCCATAAATCTTCGACGTAAATATCAAGGTCCAATAGTAAAACTAAACTCTGTTGTTTAATTCTTTCAATGACATTTATGCATCTCTCATATGAATTCATTCATCTCTCTATTTCAATTTTCATCGATACGAACTTTAACACGCATTTTATCAATTTTGACCCCATACGGATTTCAACAACATAGATGTCCAGCATTGGACCTTTCCTATAAATTTTTACTATTTCTTTAGATATTTTACAAAAAAAAAAACTTAAAAGATTTTAAGAATTATTAGCAAATTCACAACGTGTAATTCATTCTTGCTTTATTGCGTCAATTTTTTGTTTTTTATTTTTTCATTTGGGATCAACTTTAAGAAATTTGATACTATTGCGTCATTGCGATTATGTGAACCTCAAAAGTGAATCTCACTAACTTCACACTGTCTCCCGCCCCCCCCCCCACATCTTATCCTTATAGTATTTCTTTTACTTTGTTAGTTTAAGAAGTTTGGCTTTAATTGATTATTGGAATGTCGAACCTGCAAATTTATTGGTTGACATGGGAAATCACATTGCGAAAGCAAAGTTGGATGTTGGAGTCAAGAGATAAGGTGCAGACAAAGCACAAACAGTATTCTTTTTCCTTTTGGTTGTAATTTTGTTCTAATTTTTGTTTTTGATTATTTTCACATTTTTTGTCATCAACAAATTTTGAATTAGAAAATGATACTCACTTCGGTCTTTAATATAAGTCATTTTGATTTGTCTTAGATTTTTCCTAGTACGCATTTAATTAAAGAAAAATATTAAAAATATTTCCTAACAATCAAGAGAAAATAATATATGTGAAAATATAATTTTAAAATTTTTTTTCAATTAAAAAATACATATTAGGTGAAATTTAGGACGAATAAAAATGACTTGTATTAAGGACCGGAGGAGTACATTATTGGAGACTCTCTTTCTAATTTTTCATGCTTTACATAAAAGAATCGAGTATCAACTCACCTTTAAAAAGAAAAAAAAATGAAAAACAAAAAGAAGAAAAAGAATCGAGTATCAACTCTTTATTTATAAATGTAATTTTTCCTTTTCTTTTTTTTTTCAGTAATGGAACGTGCAAGACAATCACTACTAATATCCCTACCTTTTTGTGATGATATCACATTTCGCTCTATAAATTTCTGATGATATCCCTACCTTTTTGTGATATATTATATAAATGCACAAAGTTGGTTTTTTCTTCTTCTTTTTTGTTTTTTTTTTTTTTGGTATCTGATTTGAATGACATGCACTATCTTAATAAGTTGATTTATTTTTTTATCCTTCTGATTCCAGTGTTCTTTTTCTTTCTTATTCAAAAACTTGAAAAACCAGACCTAGGGTGACGGCATTATGCAAACCGGAGGACATACAATCTCGCAGGGAGGAGTCCCCTCTGATTTACCGGATTGGTTTTTATTTGAATTACTATGCAGGCTCCCATTCGACTCCGTGCGTAACTTCAAGCGTGTTTCCAGAGAGTGGTTCTCGTTCATCTCTGATCCTTCCTTTCTTCGTTTGTATATCTCCAAACCGATGCTCCCATCCTCACGTTTCCCACCATCCATACCACCATTCATTTGTTTATCAACGCCATTTGAGTACAGAAAAAATTATCCGGTGAACGATCCGGGTCATGCTCTCAGTTTACCACCTCTTCTTCACACAAATTTTAGGGGTAAAGTAAGAGTAAATATCATAGCGGTCGACCAGGGGTTTCTGTTGATTGGGTGGCAAGTTTGGGTCGACTTCAGTTTGGAATATGAATACTACATCTATAATCCTATGACCCAGCAGTATGAAACCCTAACTCCTCCTGCTCTCGCTGGTGTAAACGATGACAAGCATGATTTGTTCTATGGGAAAGGAATTATGGGTTTTACAATTCAAGTAGACGAAGAAACAGGGAATTTGACTAGTTATAGAGTCATTTCAGATGTTGGTGCGGGCACAAACATAACCGATTCCCTTAACCTACAAATGTTTCTTTCAGAAACAGGAAGATGGGAAACTTTAACGGTGAAATCTGAAAATTCAGTCAAGCTTCACTTGTGTAATAGACCAGTTGTTCTAAACAACACTCTTTATTGGACAGATCCTTCCAGTGGCAGAATTCTAAGTCACGATCCTTATGCCAATACTAATAGATTTTGCATTATTAACCTCCCAACTCATGGCGTAGTGGATGGATCTGCACGGCGAGATTCCAATTGTCTTTCTCATCAAGGTTGCCTCAAATATGTTGAAAACGTTGTGGATGGAAGCGGAATGTTGAAAAGTTTTAAGATATGGGAACTCAAGGAAAACAACGGTTGGCATCTTCAGCATAAAATCAACGTTAATGATTTTGTAGCTCCTAAGTCACCGTACGAGGATTTTGAGGCGCATGTCTACAATGATTTTGAGACGCATGTTAGAATTGTGTCATTCCATCCATTGGATGAATCTGTTATGTATCTAGAGTGGGGGAGATATAAGGAATTGAGGTCGTTTAACCTTGAAACCAAGAGGGTGCAATTACATAATCGGTGCTCAAACTCACCCGAGCATGAAGATTGGTTAATTGTGAAGTTTCCCTGTTGGCCTATCCTCATCCCACCACGTAAAACAGAACCGGAGTTGAAGGATTAAATTTGATTTAGGGATTGTTATGGTTTTGTTTTAGAATAGGGAATTGGAACTGTCATTATCACTAGCTCCAGCTCCGGGGTTTGGTTCCCCCGACTGACAGCGACAGTTGTGATTTTATTGTTTTAAAGACAGCTTACGAATGATGATCACCATATTTGTCATTGGGTTTCTCTTCTCGTTAATTTAATTCAGTACGAAACGGAAATGTAGTAGTCATGGCAGCCAGGCCGCCATCTTACTGCTGCATCCAGACATCAATATTTTAACATGTAAGATGTGATTCTCCAGACTCCAGCTACTCGCATTCCACCAGATTTGTGGTTTTATCCAAAAATAGAGATTTTACCAGAAACCAGGAGACACACTTGATATGCAATGACTTGTTTTGTTTTACAGCTTTAACCTCCACAAACCAACTATAAACCCTCTAAAGTCCAAAGAGATTTCTTTATCTCTCATGCTACGAAGATTTCTCCTCATGCTCTTCAGGTCAACCGTAGAGAAACCATCAACAGATCTCCTCAGCAAATATAACATCATATATACCTTGCACTACATAGAGAAACTATCAGAATAGGCTGATGACCAATCAAATTAGGAAAATAAATGACACAAGTGAAAAGAATGTATGATCAGGGTTCAGAAGTAGAGGGACGAGAAATAATATGTGAGAACATCAGTACACGGTACAAAGATTATGTGAGCTGCTAATGAAAGCTTGGCGATTATTAGATTGATAACTGGATACTTTTGATTGAATTTTATCCTTTGACTTCAAAAGTAAAGGAAAAAGTAATGGTAACCTTCTTCTCTAGGAATGTTCGGTTGGTCGACTAGCAATTGCGGAAGGGCTCCTAAATCATCAATATCACTGCAATTCCAGCATATTCACTACGTAAACACAAAAGAGAGACCAGCAGAATTTCTGTGTAGAAACAACTGTGACATAACTGTCAATGGAGTTAAGAGAAAACATCTAATTAAATACAATAAGAAAAGAAAGACATATAAATTGACAGCTGACAATTTCAAATACAGGCACCACTAGGGATGAACTGACATTAATACTCAATCGAGAAGAACAGAATAACCAACTTCTGGACCAAATAATTTGTAGTCATCAAAGGCAATGACCACATACTTTACAAGTATCTTGAAAAGTGGAATCATTGGCTTCTTTTTCCTTTTGCTTCTAGTGCGACAAGAAATAAGCAATGCGCAATGCATTCTTTAAGTAGTCATTGCTAATGACTTGAAACACAAATACAGACAGAACCTGATAGTTCAATGACTGACAAAAGTGATTTATTTTTTGCCCACTGGATTTAAATAGTAAAGGGAATCCACTATATGTTATACACCACATTATACTGAAATGAAGCTCATTTAACCATAAGACCAATAACTAAACATCAAAGTCTCACCATTTTCATCATTTAACTTCCAAGGTTAAATTCTTTAATCTCCAAAAAGCAACATCTATGATATCTTTCTTAGATTAAACAATAATAATAAAGACTCTTTTTCCTAACATTGGCAAAATTAAAACTTAAAGAATGCATAACATAGTCTCTGGCCATGTCATTCCTGAAAAAGCTCATATTAAGAAGAAAAAAAGGAGAAGGGGAGGAGCCGAGGGGGACAATGGCTGAGATAAGAGAAGAACATCTGGCATTACATACCATAAATTTAAGGCAACTTTTCCAAGAGCTGCCACCACCGATACTTTAAGATGGTACCTGAAAGGAACCACCACATAGATATACATTATCTAAATACCAAAACTTTACAGTCAGCAAGAAAGTAACAATATGCAGCAATGCCAACAATATGAAAAGAAAAAAATGTATTCCCGACGAAATATTGAATACTGAATAAAGGCAATCCCGATGAAATATTAAACCAGATACTTTACAATGTATATGTATTCAAAAGTACTTCAATTATTATTTTTCCCAGGAACTAGCTTGCATGAACAAGCATTTGAAATTCCATTTTCACTAACAGCAAAAGTTGTTACCAGCACATTCCAGAGACATACTAAGAAATAGAACGCCATCCATGCCAACAAAAGATCACGCTAATTCAACACCACAGGAGAAAGCAACATAAGTTTTATATAATTTCAAGTTAATCATACTCTGAACGGTGCATCTCAGAAAGAAGCCTAAGCCCATCTAGACAAACTGCAACACTTGGTTTAATGCCAACTCCTTGCTGCTGCTGTTTTGCTGAACTAATACTTGAACCCCCTTTAATAAGTTGTGCACCATCACGAGCCATTTTCTCCAAAGTTGTGCAAACACCACAAAAATCTTCCCTAATTACAACCACAATAAGAAATAACAAATGAAAATCCTACCTCTTATAAATGAGTGCATTACATGTGAATCAATATCAACAAGAAATAAACTGAGAAAACTTGAGCACCTTAGTGTATCAGCTACATTGATATGAAAAAGGTTCCAAGAAACTAATATCGGGAAAATATAAATAAGAAAACAAGCACATATTCAAAGTTCAGGAATTTCCCAAGAAGTTTCCTAAGAAGCCGAAAAATTCACAAATCTAAGAAAATATGCATTCAAAAAGATTTCATATTTGCTAAATCTTACGATAAAAAAAAAGGCACTAAAAAGATTTCATATTTGCTCATCATCAACATTGCTCCCAAGAGAAAGCATACTAGTAAAAAGTTGCACTTACAAAGTCTTGTTCATGCCTAGCAAAATTACTTGCAAAGATTCCATTTGCTTTGCCAGGACAGAATCTTCAATGCCCTGAACACAAGTCAGTGCCCCATAGTTTTTTGAATTTTGAAGAACCTAAACAAGGGAAACCAAACCGAATACTTAATACAGATACAAAAGAGGTGTGATAAAAACACAGAAAAAAAAAAAGAGTTCTGGCAAAGAAGAACCTGCAGCCTTTGTATGATGGCTGAAGCACTGGAGAATTGGGAAAGCAATCGAGACTGTAACTCATCCCACCGACCCATCTCTTCCTTGGCCTTTCTGAATTTTTGCTGATACTTTTTGATTATTCCCTCCATCTGCCTCAAAGCTCTCTTCTCTGTTCCTAAATAAATTTTTACATAAAAGAAAAATAAAAAACATCAGCACTATCTCTACTCTAGATGCTATCAACAGAAGAAATTCGATTTTCACGAACAGTTAGGTCCCATTTGGTTCCATCAATGACATTGAAACTGAATTAAAAGAAAGACCGTTTACGGTTTTTTTAACTCATCAACAACCGAAGTGAACTAAAGATTGCAATTCACACTCTCAAAATTAGACAGGAATTTTCACAAACACGTCATACTCATGATAGAAACCTGTAAAGAAACAATCCCAGGAGCCAAAATTCAACCACCAATAGACACAAATACTATTTCAGCTCGTCCCGTAAGCAAGTTATATGCATAATCCGTTCAAAAAAAAAAAGTTATATGCATAAATTGTGAAATCCTACAAGGCATAATTAGGAACGAGAAAGACTCAGTGGATTGGCAACAGAACCTTCTTCCTAATAGCAGGAACGTTGGAAGACGAACATGCGAAGCTAAAGAAGTGCTGGAAAGTGGCGGATCCACTATACACTCCCGGAGAAGTTTAGCTTAGCCCCCCAGAGAGCACATCCCTGTGTATTTCCCGGGAAAAGGAGGGCAGAAAGACGATAATTTTAATTTGGAGATTTGAACAATTTATAATAAAACCCCCAATAACTTACCTTATTATCTGGGTTTTAAATTTGGAAAGAAACATGACAAACTGCGGCTGCCATGTTTGATGGTAATTTCAAAGTTGAGTTTTTTTTTTTTTTTTTAAACATAGTTTTTCATTAAAAAAAAAATAGTTTTGTTAATTAATTTAAATTTTTTTTGGGTCTATTAATGCATAGATACGAATATTACATAAAAGGCAATTTTTGGGACAGAGCATAAATAAATACAGTAGATTGGAAATAAAGATTTTCCACAAACTGAAAAATTTTGCTCGATCTACTTAACTGCATTTCGATTTTGAGAGGAAGTTCAGTTGAAGTTCACTGAAGAAGTACAACAGATGATTCAGGCATTTGTCACATACATTGATTAATTAATTGATACTAAAATTGGAACTAAGCATTATAACAGCTTCTGGAACGTAGACTAATCTAAAGAATCTATATTCCGAGTGTGTAAACAAACTTGCTAACAGTCAATCTCAGACTCCCTCAAATGGAAAAAGATATCTCCGAAAAGCAAATCTGCACCAACTGAATGTTCCAAATCTAAATTCACATAATACAACAAGAAGCATGACACCCACTCGAACCATTCGTGTAACAAGCCAGGATGCATTCCGATAGAAAGTTTAGCCATCGGATGTTAATGTGAAGGCAAGAAGCACCATTGTAATGGTGCAGAAAATGGTTACGCCAGAGAACACCCACATAGCCCTGTTCTTGAGACTATCTCTTACTTGGCTACTAACTTCAACCTCATTCAGGATTTCTTTCACTCTGTCCATATCCGAGTCTTTTGCTGCTTGCATCAGTTTACCCTGAACTTTGTCCAGCTTATCTAGCCTTCTGCGTCTGGATGTATCTTTTCTGGGCCAGAAAAGGCCAATCATCTTCCACAGAAAGAATCCCATGTAGATGGCGAAAAGACAATCTACAGTGTAATGATTACGTTCACGAATTTCTCTCTGTGCACTGTGCAATACAAGCAGCCAGATGAGAATGGAGCTTACACCACCATAAGCTTCCTGCAGTAGTCAATTCAGCCTTTCAGAACCATTTAGTAGTAATTAACCAACAAAAAAAAGCGAAAAAAAAAGAAGCCATGGTGTATAGCGGGTGTACCGTCCACGCCATAGCCGTCAATACTGATACAAGCATGTGGCCACTGTATATAAGGTCATTGCAACCGCCCCCAGCTTTCTTTAGCAGATGATACCATGGAGAACCACCATCAGGTGGAGTAGGTCGCAAGAAGTCGATAAGGAAGCTCATTGGACCCCAATCAGGACGATATTCGACACCATATTGTCCAGGATCAGCTGCAAAACATGATCCAAACAAATATTTACATTATTATTATTATTATTATTATTATTATTAATAAAAAAAAGACAACATGAAGGTAATTTAAGTTCATTTTAAGTTGTTCAAGCATGCCTTTCAGCTTGAAGGGAAAAAACAAAGAAAAAGGCAACACAAATGAAGAATACATCACGCAGGCAATGTTCACTGAAGGAACAACTTTTTTGTTTTATCTTGCTGCCATTATTAATTTAGATTTGGAGAACAGGTGCATAATGTTCCCTCTACCTCCAGTCAACAATAACACAAATTGTTCAAAGTAGGGGGCACAGACAGCTCAAGGAAGATTAAAATACAAGGTCCAGAAGTAAGTTTCAAACATTCACAAAATATCAGCAAAAAGGCATCTATAAATGTAGCAAATACCATAGGCCATATCATAATAAATAACTTGGCGAATAGCATATGAATCAGTTGCATATGGAGTATAATATTTTTGAGCCCAATGATGAGGGTGAGCAGGAGGATGGAAGCGAACTGATGCACACCAGGGCCGAGGAGATGGCAAAATAGTAGATACAAACCCCAACGCACGGAGAATTCGCCCAACACCCATGGTAAACATGTACCTCGCACCCAACCCCAGACCAGGAGCTTCAACTGAGTTGAATAACACAGAGAAAGCAAGCATCACAAACAACATTAGGTAGTGGTGCAGTCCAATTATGCGAGCTCGCAACAAACTGACAACTACTTCTGGCAACTTCTCGTTCCAGGCAAGCAGCAGCCACTGGCCAGTATCTGGAAGAGGCTGGGCAGCACTGTAAAGAATTGTGAAGCCAAATTATACATGATGAAATCGTTATGCAAATTAAATCCATTTGAAATGACTAGTTTGAATGCAATAGGACTGTGCTAAGCAGAGGTAACTGAATCTCTAAAAGAGTACAAGTTGCGAATCTGATTCAAACAGATATCAGAATCCAACAATATAACAAGTTGTACTCATTGTAGTTTTCCTTTTATATTAATAATTACTCTTAAAGAAGGTTGCAGAACTAAAATTTATATTCCAGAAGATACGAAAGAGATTGATGAAGTGTTCCGCCTATTCAATAAACTAATGCATAAAATCCAATGGCTGTAAAATAAGCAGATATCTCAGTCCAGAAAAGAACAGAATTGAATATCCATATCAAACCTTCTAGTGGCTGCCATAATCAAATCAAGAGTTAAATTTATACATTAAACTCAAAAAAAGTAAAAAATATTTAGTAACCAGCTTTCTTTCAATGTTTTCCACCTCCTTTTCCAACACATCTTGATCAACTCTAATACCAGGGATCATATCCTTTTCCACATAATTATCACCCCACCATTATCTTTAGTTGTTCTTTTCCAGGGTAGACCAAAATGGATTCCCTAAAAAGCAGAGCATGGTGTACTTGGAAAATATGGATGCCTTATTTCCAATGCTAGACTTAATTACAGTTACAGGTACATTGGATGCATGACTTAAAACACAATGCAGCCGTAATTCCACTTTCCTTTTAAAGTTAGCCTATTACATCTGAAGTTTTAAACAACTGGAAGCTATGTGCTGGTTTTCCCACACCATGTCCTAGCTCTAACCTAATTAAAAGCAACATCCCTGACGTAGGCAGAACAGAACAAGTAGTATCGCCCGAATGTCAAAGGTTAAAACCATGAATCTCCCATACCCTTGCTTCTGGTAAAGGAAATTCACATGTGGTTAATGACAAAAAAGTAATGGAGCAGAATAGGAAGTTTTCTGATCAAGTAATATTCACAAAACAGTGTGAAATCATGCACTAGCACAATTAAAGTAACTTATTTTGTAACTACCATCAATCCAACATTAGACAGTAAACCAAAATGGAAATGTAGCATATAGCACCAAATAAAACTTATAAATCGAGCCAAATTGCATTTGGAAAAATGGATCTCAACTAAAGTAACTAAATTCACTTCAAGTCTTGCTTCCAATAAGCAGCAAATCCAGACACATTCTTGCTAATTCAAGTACATCGAACATAATTATTCATTTCAAACACAAATCTTCAATTAAAGCAAAACCCACAAAAGAATCTAAACTACCAGCCATGAAAAATGAAAAACCCAACAACGTAAACAACTTCAAAACTAAAATCCCACCAAAAACAGGAATTTTTCCACCTCAGAAGTACAGAAAAAAAAATCAAAACTAGATGGATTGAGATTTCAGATCATACTTATGCCAATCTTCGCCAAGCACCACCGTGACAAACCGCACGGAAATAGCCTCAAATAACAAAGCCGACAGCATAAACATCAAAGAGAACACGAACGGAAGAGCAGAGCGCAGTTCAGCAGACCAGTGCTTGTAAAACGGAACCCGAACTATAACTGCAATGGCAAAAACAGTCCACAAAACCGGCTGCAACCGCCCGTGCCACCGCGGGGACCAATGCCGGAGATAGTCAACTCCTACATAAGCTATGGCGGCAAGGCCTAATCCGCCTCGCCGGCCGTTCAATACGGTGGACTTCCACGGCGGAGACAGCCTCATATTGATCGTGTTCAGTCGGAACTCCGATGCCTAAGCAAAAGGAAAGTTGCTCCTATAAGCACAGTAAAAAAAAAAGAAGCAGAAACGCCGCTTAGTTAAAAGGTTTTTTTTTTTTTTTTCCCCAAAATGATGTAAGAAGACAAGTTTTTAAAAAAAAGGTTTTTTTAATATCAGCCATTTACAGAATTTCTCAATCAAATGATTAAAAAAAAAATAATTTCAGCACAGAAATGTTAAATTGTTGGGGAAAATGGAAGTACAGTATTGTACTATCTGTCGATATGAAAATGATAAAAAAGAAATACGAAAACTATATATTATATATTATTCAGTGGATATAATTATAGAATTTCGGTTAATCGAGAAGAAAAAAGAAAAACGAACAAACAAAAACAGGTTCATTGGTTTATATCAAGCACTTATTAACAGCATTATGTCATCTTCACATGTATATATTATCATACTTACGTAAAAGAAGAGATAAATCGCATTAAAAACGAAATTAAAATGTGTTGTTTACAATAAAATACAACAAATTGCATCCTTTAACAAGATAATCACTCAATCCCATAAAAATAGTTTATATTGAATTTTATTTTACTAGGTTTCAAGGTAAGTTTTTTGGATAAAATATGCATGAATCGAATTCTTACTGTTTTCCTGTATGTGTTTTTAATCGGTTTAATCTCCATTCGTGGAAAACAACACAAAATTGAACATCGGTTATGCAAGTTGATTATTTTGATATCGATCCGACCAAAAATGTGTCAACTGATGCGTAAATTCACACAATTTTTGCGTCTACTTCCGAGATCGAATTTACAAAAAAAAAAAATTGTAGCGAAATCTTCATTCTTGATGATCAGATAAGAGAAAGAGAAGTTACATTCATCCTTGCAAACTCAAATCATATTTCAAAGTACTCACTGATCAACATTTCTTTAATTGATCAGAGTCCAACTATTCTTTTTCTAATTAATGAAAAATTTTACAAACATTTTGTTAGTGTTTGAAGCAGTCGGCCTGTTTGATAAAAAATAATGTTTAATTCTGAATGCTTAATACTGAATTAGAAATGCTGAATTTAATAAATAGTTACAGAATAAGCAATAAGCTAAGTTTTATTGCTTATATTTTGTACTGCAGTTTCAGCACCACTTAAGAAAATTCTTTTTTTTTTTTTTTTTATCAAACATGCTGAATGAAAAAAATACTTAATCCAATAATTTTAAGCATTAAATAGCTTTATCAAACAGGCCCTAATCTCTTAGAGAGTGTGGTTTATTGGACTGAGAAATAATGTTTTCCTTCCAGTTGATGTTCAAAAATTAGATAACTATAATGTTGGAAATTTTCAAATATTAATAATCCCCACGGAGATTAACAATACATAATATTAATGCATCCACCTTCAAACCTAAAAGTTGGTCACGAGGAATAAAATAAAATAACTTTTGTCAATAACGTGGGATTCGGCTAATCACTACATTATAATTAGAACTGTGACTTTCTTGTAGACTGGATTTGAGGCTAAGAGAAGCTGACTTTGGTTGAACAAATCTTCAAACTAGGAATTCAACAGTTTACTCAACATATGGATATGGAACTACATTAAATCAAGATTCTGTTTATCAAACTGAGCTACATTATATTATTATTATTATTACTGGGAGGAGGGAGTATAGAGTAATTTTACCAGTAACGAATCACTCCGTGGAACTACGTTAACTTGATCTTTAGGGAAGAATTAACTCTATAGATACGCAACACTACAAACAAATCAATTGTCACAGTGTATTACATACAGCTAGACTGACAAAGAAACCCAACACAGCACCTGCTATGACTTCCATCTCTGTGTGACCAATTGTTTCTTTCAACAAGACCACTTTTCTGGCTCCTTTCGCATCAGAGGATGCCTGATCAAGAGAAGTGACTAACAATGAGTTAGAAGCTACATTTCTCGATCTCGGCTGAAGCAAAGAAGGCTCCAACGACCCCTCCTTGTTTTCTCGACTTGGAAAACATTCATTACAATTGGCATCCTTGTGACCACTGCAGGAAGCATCCTTGTCCAGCTTGTTTGATATGTACAAGACCTCCTTATTTATTACTTTCGCGTGATTCCCTACTTCCCTCCTAACACCCTGGAGGATAATCAAAACATATGAACAGATCATTCGACGCGACCGGTAAAAGAGAGCTACTTCAATGTAAGTTAAAATGCCACTTTCTAGATAACGGAATTTGTTGATTTCTGAGATAAAAAAAAAAACCCACAGGGGACCAGGACTAATACATTGGTGCTAGGGGCGAATGTTATACAGCAACAAAAGTTAAAACATCAGTCAAGAGTTCCCACTTTCCCAGTAATGAATTACACTCTCAGAAACAGAAGACAAAGAAATGACAATGTTTCATATATAATATAGGCTAAAGTAACTAGTTTGCATAATTGCAACTAGGTTTTTCTTGTATCTATTGAAATTTAAACCAAGTCAAGGCTTCTTCAGAGTCAAGATTAAAGTAAAGCCACCGCTTGCAGGCCTAACTTTTCAAATCACTCGTCCTTACAACCCCAACAGCTACTAGGATTTATCATACATTTATTAGTATACATGTAAAGTTCAGCACTTGTATACATAATTCACTGATCACTGTTCTGATGTTTAATCAGCAGGCTGGTCCCCAGAAATAACCAATTTTTTACCATTGGATTGTAGTGAAAACAATATTGTTAGTCCAGAGAGCTAATACAACTGGAGAAGTGTATTTTTAGGCAAGAAATCATGTTGTTAAAATCTCGACAAATCAAATAGAGTTTATCGGAAGCAAAGGCTAAACTAGTCCACCATTTCGAGTACATTGCAAGCATAGCCTAAACTAGTCTACCACTTCAAGTGCATCGTAAGGAAATTCCACACTTCGGTACCATTTCAAGTGCATTGTAAGCAATAAATCCCAATGCTATTAATCTAAACATGTAAACAATACTGATTGCTAAAGCTTGTCAACAAACAAGGATTTTCAATGAAATTGCCAAAAGAAACAATTCTAAAATAGCAGATGATTTTCAATCTTCCGTGGTATTCAAAATGAAGAAATAAAAGGAAAAAACTAGGAGAAAAACCAAACCTGTGCATCATACATGATCAGGCAAGCATAAACAACTGCCAAACCAAAAATCGAATCCGAGAAACCCCTGACATACATGGAATGAGAACAGTGTTTGAGTTAATGTTCGTGTTTGAGTTAATGGCAGTACAAGTTTAGCTCAGTCACACAAAAATAATTCACAAATGAAAACAAACATCATTGCCCTGAGAATCATCAGATAACAAAGTCACAAGAAAAAAGAGTAGCAACCTTTCAAGGCCAAGGGTGATGGCGGCGGCAACAGCTGCCTGAAATAAAAATTAGGAAAAAAATCAAGAAGACCCTTTTGAGTTAACGGAAAGAATGCATTCATCATGTCTGATTAGAATTAGCAGAAATAAGTAATCATCTTTGTTGATAATGTTGCATATTTTGGGAGTAAAGTATACTTACAGAGGAATGAGTGGAAGGGAAACCTCCAGCTCGAAAGGCATTCATAAAGTCAATATTGGGAGCTCCATATAAAACCCTTGAAGTGAAGGGCTTTGAACATTGCCCAATTGCTCCTGATATTGCTGCTGCTATTAGAACCTATTACATCTTCATAAAATGAATGAATTGAAATTTTCCATATCCTTCTTCAATAAGGACAAGAATAAGAGAAAAAGAAGAGGGCTGAAATCTGAACCTTGTTTTGAAGGATATCAATGATTTGAATACTGGCAGATGATGAAGAACATGAACATCTAAAATTAAGGCCACCATTTTCATTATTACTCCTTCCTCTTCTGCTAGTTGTTTGTGTGAGCAAAGGAGGAGGGAGACAAAAGCTCCCATTTTGCAGCTGCAGCAACATCATCAATGTAACTGGTCAACGGCTTACCAACCAAACTAAAAATATTTGAAGAAATCATTTGGGCCGAAGCGAAAAATTGGCTAAAACCAAGTACTTTGGTCCAATGGGTCAACAAATGTCGAAAAGCTTTTTTGGGCTGCACGAAAGTGGATTAAAAAGAACATGCTATATAATATAATCTTATTGAAATGCTTCTTGAACATTTAATAATTGAGCTGTTATTTATTTATTTTTGGTTATCCGAGTTGTTATTCTTCATGATTAAGGTCCTGTTAATTTTTACTTGCTTGTGATTTTATTTGCAAAATTTAATATGCAAGGTACTACCAGCAAAGCAACAATATTTCCTTCATGTTTGTAGCCCATATTTATAGAGAAATTCAGGACAGTTGGAAATTGTTGATTTGAGCTTTGAAATTCGACCTTCCATGTATTAATCTTGGACCAATATAGAGTACCAATTGAAATATTCGGAAGAGTTATTAGTACTCTTACAATCTGAAAAGAAGAAAATCACAACACTCTTAATGAATAATGACACGCTTTCGATACAAATAAAATATTTTTTTAAAACATATGTTACTATTATGCTACGTACAAGTGAAGAATCTTCATGAGTATTGATTATTGAAAAATCGAAACTCCCAACCTCATAAACAGTAATGAGTTTGGGAGGCTCTAATACCACGTCTTTAGCAGCTCCGTGCAACATAAATTTGTGAATCCACTAACATAAATATGGTGTTTTTTTCCTCATCAAACAACTTCACCTCAGCCAATATCTCAATTGCAAGCATCCATGACCAAAAAGATCCCCTAATGCAATGTCAAGGTAACCAATCTCATCTCCACCAAAGAATGTTTTCCCTTTGCTACATCTTACAAATGCCGCCTCCAATACCACAAAGCCTTCCTTTATCTTGTGTGTTAGTTCTCTTCTTGCTTCTTCTTCTTCTTCTTCTTTGGGTCTCTCATCTCTTAGCTTCAATATTAGTGGAAACCACTGGATTCGTAGATCACAATCCAAATTAATAAAAATTGAACACCAAAATTAATCAATTGAAAAGTATGATTAATCTTACCTGATTATCAATATATCAGAAGCGAGCCATGGCGCGATCAAACGGATCATAAAAAAGAATATTTGTGATTAGTACTTGATGACCAGACTTCATCGATGTATTCGACGATTACAATCGATTCACAAATACACTTATCTTGGTGAATCAGAACTAGAATTTTCTTGTGAACATGATTGGATGCTAAGAGAAGCTCACTTTTGTTGAACAAAATCTTCCTCCCTTAATTTATATGGGACGCCTTTCAAGTTGAGGGAGATCTGAACCCGGTTTTTAGGACTGCCTGGCAATCCTAAAATCTTCACTTGATCACCAGAAGTTGCCATAGACGACGTTGACTCAGAAAATTTTAAGTGTTTGTTTGTGAATTGATTCTTTTGATTTACTAGCTACGCAGTATGCAAAGACTAGTAGTTGGGAAAAAAGGAACTTTTTTTTTTTTTGGACGAGATCATTAGTACTTTTGTGTAAGTGATTTGTTTGGGTAATTATATTAAGAATCCTTGAAATGCAGGGGACCAAGATAACTAATCCCAATAGAAGCCAAAGTTGACTCTGAGAGTTTGTTTGAATTGATTCCTTGATTCCTTGTTACTATTATACCATCAAGCTAGGCAGTATGAAAACTTGAAAAGACTATTTGGTGGGAAAAAAAGAACCTTACTTTGTGATATCATATTACTTCTGTAAGTAGTTTATTTGTATAGTAGGTTTGGCTAATCCATATCCACTTCCAAATAAAAAGTCCTTAGTTATGAGAGTTAGCGAAAAATAAGATTTATGTTTTGCTTATCGGTTTAAGAAAGAGGACAGATGAATATATCACAACTAGTAAATTACTCCCTCCGTCCTACGGAAATAGTCCACATTAAACTTTGAGTTTTGTACTGTTTTTAATACAAATTTCAAAACTCGACTATTTTTTTAAGACGGATGAAGTACATAGATGCGTGAACTCTATTAACATTGCGATGAAGTCCAATGCACAACCCCTGCAATGGCTTTAGCCGCCAAACACGACTAGAAGGAATCTGATTAGTCATTTTGGTCCCATGCACTTCTTATTAGTCTCTCCGTTTCGAAATATCTGTACAGATTAAATTTAATAATAATCATTTTGAGAGGGAGACAGTAATAATTTAGCATTACTGATTTAGCATGATTCCCTTTTATCTTATTTAATTTCCATTTTTTCAAAGCAAGAAAGATTGAAAAGAGTAATGATATCTTTCTCTACTATTTTAACTCTACTTACATGGTTATCCTAATTGGCACATCCACATCATCACTTCATATACTGCGATTTATAATAATATTTTTTTTAAAAAAAAAACATAAAACCCATCTTTCATCGCCAAATTACTTCGGCCGGAGAATTAAAGTTCTTCACTCTCCTCACCGACGCCAATCTCTATTCCTCAAAGAAAAATTATCATTTTTCATCAAAAATTTTCACAATCGAAAATCTGACCCTTCACCATTGCTGAATTGAAAAACTGATCCTTCACGCGGTCACGGAAAAGGAAGCATTGCTGCTCTTCTTAGTGCGAATTATAATGAGGAGGAGCATCAACATGATAATCGTGGTACCCCCTCTTCCCCCTTATTCGTAACAAGGGCAGTCGAGAAAAAAATTACCAAGAAAAAAAAAAGGAATTTAGAAGAGAAGTAGCTTGAGAATTATAAATTTGCCGATGAATGAGGGGTTTTAGTTTTTTAAAAAAATTATTGTAAATATATGAGTTGATGACGTGAATGTATCAATTAGGATATTCATGTAGGTAAAGTTATAAATAGAGTTAAAATAATAGAGAAGAATATCATTACTCGATTGAAAATACGAGATCATTCAAGAAATACTGTAGAGGATGAAACGACGCACATACATGCTGGCGGTGCTGCTATATGTGGATTATTATATTATGTCATACCAAATTCTACATCATGCATAGTGAATATCTTAAGTTGGTAGCATAAGTGCATAACGGTTCCTTTGTTTTGAGAGGACAGCTGATAAATATTTTTTTGATACACAATACAGATGCATTAATTTTAGCTAGATATCATCACATAATTAAGAGGTATAGATAAGCAAATTAGCTAGGCAAACTTTATTTTGCACAACCGAATACTAATCCTCGTCATACCACCATCGCAAATGTTAATTGTTGATATATATACTCTCTCTAAATTTGCTTGGGAGGATAAACTTAAGATAGCTCTAATTTTTTAAGGATTTTTTTTTTTTGGTGCTTGATACATTATTGTCCTAATTAGTTATTTTTTGGCGAAAATAAGCCAGGGTGGTTGTTGTCGTTGTTGTTTTTTTTTTATTTAATTGTTTTTAATTTAAATTTCGGCCTTTGTTTTTTTCTACACAGTTAACCAACATCCGGTTCCGCCACGCCATTGTACGTTGGGATTTAAATCTTTAAGATTGTTATATATATGCATGTAACCTGCTTACATCAGTTGAACGTATCTAGCAATTTACCGCTTTAAACCAAACTCAAAATGGGAAAGGAACCTTACCCCACATTCGCAAACACACATAAATTGGATCTTTGTTTTGGTTTATGCAGATGGTTTTTGTTTTTGTTTTTAGAATGTTTTTTCTAAATTTGATTTTTTTAAAATTATTTGTTACAATATATACTTTTACCTTCCATTTGACTTCTTCATGTCGGGATAATTAAGTGGTAAACTATATCAATTGTACAAGAATATATAATAGAGCAATTTAATGATCCAGCCTGCAGTTAGCTATAAATATCGGTGGAAATCAACTTCTCCAAAAAAAAAAAAAAAAAGAAGACAAGATTTGTGTGTAAAAAAGGAGGAGGAGAGTAAAGAGTGGGAAAATGGATAAACATATGAACGTTCATTTCAAAAATCCAGCCGTGTTGTACATAGTGTTGTTGGGGTTGCTAATCATCAATTCTTCACTCTTGTCTGGAGCTGATCCTACCGATGGCTTCACAAATGTGCCTTTGACGGAAGATAATATCGCCATCCAGCGGCCGTACAACGTCCCATTGGACGAGCGTTACAGCTTCGAGGACGGGATCCGCAAGCTTTGGGTGTATGCCGATGACAAATCGCATAGCCCTGGTAGCGGCACACAGCCGCGAACTGAAGTCCGGATCCATGTAATGTTTCTTTTGACGTACAAGAAAAATAGTTCATTTTATTGTTATATGGTTCAAATTTAATAAATCTAATAATAATTTATTACTTTTATAATGTTTCTTTCAATGTACCCCAAAAACAATTCAATTTGTTGTTACACTGTCCAAATTTAATAAATCACACAACTTGTTATTTTTGTAATCTCTCACTAATTTAATGAATAATATATATATTTTCTATTTTGGTTTTTTTTTTTTTTCATTTTTGTTTGTTTCATCGTTTTTGGCAGGGGCATGACTATACATCTGGAGTGTGGCAATTTGAAGGTTATGGATTTGTACCCAATGGAACAACCGGAGCAACCATAACCCAAATACATGGGGCTGAACACGATTCGTCGACGATAATACTGAGGATTTACGATGGTGATATTAGGTACTACAGCGGCCAAGTGATAGCGACCGGTATGTATGATAGGTGGTTCCGTGTCAATCTGATCCATGATGTCGACGGAGGCACCGTGACGGTTTACATTGACGGTGAACAGAAGTTTCAGACACAAGATCGTGGTCGAGCTCAATTTTACTTCAAGTGCGGAGTTTATGCTGCATTAAGAGACATCAGTTATTACATGGAATCACGGTGGAGGGATATCAAAATCTACCGGAAGTGATATGATCCCCACAAATTTAATTAATGCAACAATATTGTTGGGCATAAAAAATTTGTACTCAATATTATCTCCAGACTCTTATAATTAAGTGATCCTACTATGTACGTATGTGTCTCCCTCCCACAAAATTAATATCATCTCTCATATGTGTCAGGTTTTATACAAGCTGATGTGATTGAAATGAGACTATTATTTATGACATTGAAAACAAAATAAAAGAAAAAGGAAAGGTTTTTTTTTTTCTTTTTCAAGATGAATCCCTAATTATTTAGGAGACATTAATAATATGCTGATGAACATAATTCTTGAAGAGCTTAATTCATTTGTTGAAAAAAAAGAATAGAACATCCAAAACTAATATATTAATTTAGGTAGTAGTAGTAATAAGATTACACAAGGAAGAATTGATCAACTAGCAAAATTCCATAGCAGAATCGCATTGAGGTATAGCTAATTTGCTTCTTCTTCTTCTTGTAAAACTTGATTCGCGGTATGCTGATTTATGTGTTTATAGCCAACCAAGGGCTTCACATGTTCCCTTCTTTCCGTCCCCACTTCCTCCAAAAACTTAGTATTTTATTAGTCTTGAAATTATTATTAAGTTTGAATTTTCATTTTTAGTTTAAATTAAAATTTTAGACATGACGGAGAAAGTATATTTTACTTAATTCAACAAATACAATTCCAATTTTAGAAAAAATACAGTGCCGGAGATAGGGGGAACAGTTGGGCCGGTCGCCCCCCTCTCCAATTTTTTCATTAAGGAAGGTTTAATTTTTTAAGTTTAAAATTTATAAAAATTGTAATTTTGCCCTGCTACATTAAAAAATACCGTTTTGCCCCTCCTATTACAGATCCCCGACTCCACCACTAGACAAATATACTAAAAGTCTTGAAAAATATTTAGGAAATAGAAGCGGTTTGATCGCTACGGATACTAATTAATTATCTTTTATATTAACTTCACGAACGATTCATGTTTCAGAATTAACATTTCTATTGAGGATCCGGTATTTTTTATTTTTATTTTCGGGTACAAAGGAGAAGATCGAACCTAGAGCTATAGTAGTATAACCAGTGGCGGAATCGGCTACTCATACTTGGAGGGGTTGACTATATATACATAATCAAAATCAATGATCGAATATATCTGACGTAAGGTTAACCGTGACTACTCTTAAGAGACTTTTCATCCGACAGAAGGGGCTCAGTACCCCCCGAACCCCGTAAGAGTTCCGCCCCTGACTATAATATTATGGGAGTATAAAAGAATGCAGAGTTTCACTATACTTGGTGGAACATCCATATGATATCTTGAAGCCGCATGTGAAACTAAATAATTCGAAACGAAATTAGCCTCTCTAACTCGTGTTTAACTTCCACACGCCACTGTCTTTCCATCAGCTCCTTAAGTGAGGATCCTATCTTAACTATATATGTAAGAATAGTCTGCCTGTACAATTTTTATATGCTGCATTCGTCAACCAAAACCCATGCAAGACATAAATGGGTTCATTGAGATGTTTACTGTTTTGCACAGTAATGGAGAATGCATGCATGCAGCATTTGTTGAAGAATTGCTTTCTCATACTATGCAATTTGGGAATTTTTGCGGATAAAATGGACGAGATCATAGGGCTCAAAACACCAATTTTCTCTCTTCTTTACACTTTTCATTCAGTAAAGGCATCACTCTGAAATATTTCAGCCATTTAGTTTGAGTGTTTTTAGAAGAGATTTCAGTAGAAAATATAGTCTCTTCATTTGTTATGTTTGTGGAGTGTGTATCCACTTGGATTATATACTCTATTGTATTTGGAGTGATTTGGATGTCATTAGGTGTTTGATTTACACCATTTTAGTGTTCGTATTTTGGCCATCATAATAAACTTTACTCATCCTTCACCTGTGGAAGTAAATCAATTGACTCAACCACGTAAATTATTATGTCGTATCTTTTATATATTTTCTCATTTTGAGTCTTCGCTATTTTCTTTTAGAGTTGTTCTTAATTTATTGGAGTTTGTTACCTAACGAACTATTAGGCGTGATCTAGGCTTAAATTATGTTTAACTCGAGAGATAGTAAAATATTAAATGATTTTTTTTTAAAAAAATAAGTTTCATCATCCAAAGAAGTGCGAACGAGGGGGTTAACACATCCGTCACTGTAAATTTTTACTATAATAATCCTTCTGTCCCAAAATTATTATCCGTTTCAAATTTTACTTTTAATAGATTTGAACTAGAAATGAAAAACCAAACTGGACAATAATAATGGACGGAGGGAGTATTAATGTTCCATTCCGACTTCAGCATACATTATACGAAATTACGTAGTAATAAAAGTGCTTCATGAAGAAAATTTGTGGAAGACCGTTACAAAAGATAAAACAAGACTCCATGGATCTATAAACATTACACACGAAAGCAGATTACAGTTACCGCCGTTGGTAAGGCAAAGCCAATTATTTGAGAGAGAGAGAGAGAGAGAGAGAGAGAGAGAGAGAGAGAGAGAGAGAGAGAGAGAGAGAGAGAGAGAGAGAGAGAGAGAGAGAGAGAGAGAGAGAGAGAGAGAGAGAGGAGAAAAACTTTTAATAGGGTCATGCATCGATCCATGAAAGATGAATAGTCAAACTGGGTGAGAGGTCCATATATATTGAACAATTAGGGGCCTCGCATTTTGTAGATTTGTCAGTTAAGCGTAGATAACCTCTGGGCGACGGTCGCCATTTATAACAGTTGGGCGGTCGTCGACGTACACTGGCGTGGCGACTACGGGGGTGACCACGACTCTGTTACCTTCGAAAATGCCGCTAATGATATTACCTGCGGTATTGGATATACCTTCCACTAACCCAGGCTGTCTTAAAACCGCTATTGCTGTGATTTTTCTTCGGGTAACATTTTTATTGTTATTGTTATTATGGTTGTCTTGTGGTTGGACATCTACCAACCAAAGCCTTGTTGCTGCTATGATCAATTGGGAGGTGTTTTCATTTTCGTGATCATGTTGGTGGATGATCCTGATCATACTTCCGTCGACTAACCAGAGCTTTGTTGCTCCGATTAGTCGGCCGTTTTCGTGGTCTTGGTGGGCACCATCTATCAGTTCTAGCCTTTTTGTCACCGTTGCTCGGGTGGTTCCGTTGTTTTCCACTCCTTCCATTGACCAGACCTTTTCTGATGCTATCATTCTTCGGGTGGTGTTTTTTTCATGGATTTGATACGTACCGTATACTAACCAAAACTTTCTTGCTGCTCCTTTGCCTTTTTCTGCTTCATCTTCGTGGTGGTGATGGACACCATCATCTACGGACCCGGGGTTTTTAGCCTTCTCCGCAGGGTCTTTAACATCATTGGCAGCCGCACTTGGCCGGAGCATAAACAAAACTATCAAACATAAAAGGAATTCATTTATTTAGTAATAATACATATTTTTCGTCCTGGAATCATTGCCTAGTTCCAATTTTCATTTGTAGTACAAATTAAACTAAAAATAAAAATATATACTGAATAATAATCTCAGGACAGAGAGAATACACTAAGAGCTTGTTACCAAATTTATATTAAGGAACGGAGAAAAGGCGAAAACCTATCATATCAACAAGGAATACTTAAATACTTACCGATACAAAGGGCAAAGACTGGAATCCAAAAGGTGGTGAAATGAGCTGAAGTCTTAGCCATATTTCTTCTGGATGAAAATTTTGAATATTATTGATTTGGAGCAGAGTACTAGCACTACTCTTCTTTTTTTTTTTTTTTTTGTTACAAAAGGAGGAAGTACTAGCACTACTCTATGTTGGGGCCTCTGCTTTGTTTTGTGGTCATTTGTGTGGCGAAAAAACACCAATTTATAGGAATGACATGCATATGTGGGACGAGCTCGATCCTGAGGTCTGAGAGCCGCCTTCATTAATCTATTCCCACCCATTAAATATAATGCAAGAGTCGCGTCTCGCGTGGACATACATAAATGTAATTCTTGTAACCACCGTCCTGACCAAAATATTCCCTCTGTCCTAAAATAATTATCTAATTTAACATTTTACTTTCATAAAAAAAAAGGAATATCAAACTTACTTATAAAAGTGAAATCTTAAAGTAAATATTTATTTCGCAATAAAATGAATATTAAGCAGTGGAAAATAGCCATTCAATCTTTACTTGTGAGATAAAACATGAAATCTACTAGTATATTTACTTAATTATATATCCTTGTTATTTTTAGTTTAATTTGTTTTGATACAAATACAACGTACTACAGCCATCTATCTATAATATTATATTAAAAGAGAAACCAGAGAAAGAAAATCAAACTTCTCCTCCCGTTGACACATAGGACAAAATCCTATGTGTCATTTTCTTATAGGTTGAAACAAAAAATATTTACAACAATTACACTAATTGTCCTTTGAATTTTCAGTTAATAAATTATTATTAATTCTTAATTAAAGCATATCAATAAATTCTATGGTAAACTTTCTATTTTGCATTCCCTAAAATTCAAAAAAAATCGGAAAGTTTTTAAAATTTCAACATTAAATAAGATTGATTTGAAAAAGATTATCCGATTAGCATGAATAATGGCATTACATATTGATTTGATCATTAAATAATATTAATGATATTTGAAATTAAAAAATAGTAAATACAAAATTATCAGTGATTCATTAATTCAACATTAAATCTGATTGAGTTGAAAAAAAATTTCAATTGGCTCGAATAATGCTATTACATATTGGTTGTTCATTAAATAATATTAATGCTTTTCTAAAATTCGAAAATAATAAATACAAAATCATTAGTGATTCTTTAATTCAACATTAAAGCTGATTGATTTGAGAAGATTTTCTGAATGGCTCGAATAATGCCATTACATATTGGTTTGATCTTTAAAAAATATTAATGCTTTTTTGAAATTCGAAAATAATGAACGAAATTGTGGATAATATTTTTTTAGAGATGTATCATGTGTCATAATTGCATACACGAAAA